CACGGATTTCAAAGGATTTTGTTTTCATGTTTAATTTTCTTTCAATCAGTTTTCATGATTGACACTCATGTGAGAGGACCATATCATTTTACATTAAAGTGACTTCTAGTCAAATTTTTCTTTTTAAGTTTTTGATGGAAGGGGTCAGGAAACAAATAGAACAGCTACAACTTCAACACAATCCATAATCAGTCGTTATCAGATTGTGTGTGAATTTACCTTGCTTTCTGTGTGGCCACTAAAACAGGAAGCAAAAAGGAAAAAAAAATGGGGGAAACAAACAGGAATAAAAACACAACAGATGTTCTAACCCTTCCTCACTCCATCCAAAATAAAAGAAATGCAGCCACCACATCTAATGATTGGTAAGCTGCAACAGGTTTTCTTTTTTTAGGCTTTTTCCTCCTCTGTTTCCACCTGGTGATCTGGTAAGTAACACACCGTGCTCCCGGAGCTGCACTTCGGGAGCACAGCAGAAAGCAGCATTGTCAATCTGCGGGGATGGAAGTGTTGGATGTACTAGCAGATTTAGATAAACTAAATGAAGAAACAAACTGAAGCCAAACTACAGCTCACACTGCAGTTACAGCAAAAGTATTTTGTATTTTTTTGGGGGGGGGGGGGGGGGGGGGGGGAAATAAAAGGTTTTACAGGAATAAATAAAAGCTGATCATTGTAAGCACCCCTGTTCTTGATAAATGGCTTGTCTCAACACACTGATACATTTGCAGGAGACCTTGATCTGTTGAAAAATAACAGGCATACTGGCAGGATCACTAGGTAAATATAATAGAAAGAAAACCTAAAAAGAAAAAAAAAAAAAAAAAAAAAAACTACCGAATGTAGCCACCGCATCTAGGAATTGGTAAGCTGCAATATAATAAACGTTTACTTTAGGGATTTATACCGCTTTAAAGTTACATACTGAACACATTAATGTGTGGGTGGGGGAGCTTTCCAGGAACCTTTAAAGCATGAAAGGATTATACGTTTTGCATTATAAAATGTATACATGAAGATCTGGAACTTCCGTTACAACTAAAATCTACACACTTTAGATATTTTATAGGTTAAATCGATGACACTTACTGGAGAATGTTCCCATCACTTTTCCTTCCAGTTTCTTTGCCACAGACTCACAGAGCTGCACTGCGATTTCAGCTGCCACGTTCTTGGCTGCAAGGGAATTACGGCAGGATCAGAACCACAACCAGGACACAATAACACAGTGCCATCTGGGCAAAGCAACAGCTTGTTTTAAACCGCTCTCCTTTCCTTTTCTTCACTCCCCTGCTGCAGCATCACCGGGAACTAAAGGGAATACTGAGTACTTGTGATTATGGATGAGCATGTGTGAGCTTGGAGTTATTCAATCAAAGCTGTCACAAGCACTTCACAGCCCTATGTCAGCTGCAACTCAATGGACAGGCCTATTTTTTTTTCTTTTGAATTCTGATGCCTGAAGAGGCTAGGGTATGAATATAGTTGCATTAAAAAGGAAGGAGTGCATTAACGCTGAACTCTGGGGCTCTGCCTACACAGCAAGGGTCCGATGCTCGTTAATGCCTAGGGTATCGGTAGAAAGCACCTTTACTTACTTAATGCCACTTCCACAGACTTCCTCCGTGCCATGATAGGCCGCTGAAGCTTCTTCGTTCTGTCCATCACAGACACTTTGAAGTCATCAAGTACAACACAGGGCCAGCAGTCCTTCATTGTACATGAGGACACCAAAGGACTGCCCATAAGCTGGAGTGTTTGGGGCAGAATAGTTGAGCAGCAGCTGTCAAGGCAGTGAGGAATGAAGCAAGTAAAAGTTGTTTTTCCTGGTACTACCCCAGGATTAAAGGAGCATTTAAATCCTTGCAGAGGGGTGAGCACCCCACTGCAAGGGATTTTGTTTTGCCCCCCCCCCCCCCCGGGTTCAACTTTAAAGTGGACCTGTTGCTTTATCCAGTACAGTTTCAAAGTTTATGTCAGCCAAAAACGTGTTCTATTAGTTTTATATGAAGTTGGGAAGGAGTAGAACCCCTGTTGGTTTTTAACTGCTATCCAAGACTCTGTTGGAGAGATTTTCCTTTATTTCCTGTCCTGGCAACAAGGGTCTCACCCATGTGAGGGAAAATCTCCATCAGTGACACAGGCAGAAATGCAATTGTGACAGGTGTTCTAAAAAAAAAAAAAAAAAAAAAAAAAAAAAAAAAACACATTTTTATTTCTGTCTGTGTTACTATTAGACATTTTCCCTCACTTCCTGCCTGGAAAAATATTGTCGCAGAAAAGGAATAGAGGAGAAGTCTCTCTAACCAAGCCTTGAATAATATTTAAACCAGCAGGGGTTCTAACCCATCGCCACTCTTACAAACACTAAAAAAGTGTAAAGAAATGTATGGTTGGGCTTAAACTTTAAAGTGGTTGTAAAAGTTTCGTCTGTGCATAAAAAGGCAAAAAAACCTTCTGTGTGCAGCTACCCTCGGCTCAGCCCCCGTATACTAACCTGAGCCTGATCTCAGTCCAGTGCTGTGCCAGACAGCAGAGGTTCTCTCCACTCTCTCTCTCCTCACTAGATATGGAGAAAGCAGCCAGAGCAATTGGCTCCTGCTGCTGTCAATCACAGCCTGTGAACAGAGAGCCCTACTGTAAGTATTTATGGAGTAAAAGGGAAAATAAAGAGTGCCCCCATATCAAGGGGGAGGAACCAGGAGCACCAGCAAGGGACCCCTAGAAGAGGATCAGGACTGCTCTGTCCAAAACCGTTGCACACAGCAGGTAAGTATAACATGTTTGTCATTAAAAAAAAAAAAAAAAAAAAAAAAAAAATGATGTATGTTTACAATAGCTTTAAAATGGACTATACCTATACATAAAAAGTAAGAAAGCTTAGTAAGCACCACTGTATTTTGTTTTACTAAACATGACTTTGCTGCCAAAATGGAATTGCACCTACTTTATGTTTGGTTATATGTTCTCATTCACATAGCAGAACTTGGGAAACAAGGTAAGAAATGTTTTTTTCCCTGGGAGGTGGGGGTTTTTGCACCCACAGTTTTTAAAAACCCATTAGTGGCTTTCTCTTGCTGAGTAAGGTTCGCATGAGTTTGCGTCAGCCACTAGCACTCTTTTCTGTTGGCTATTGCTGCAGTGGATTGCCTTTCTCTTCAAGTAGCTCCCTTTGGCGCCCCCTCTCAGGTAAGCTATGCAAGGGCATCAAAAAAAAAAAATAAAAATTAAAAAAAAAGGAAGAGAGCAAAAACATATATAATAATAATAATAATAATAATAATAAGTATATAGGAGAAAATATTTTTATTGTTTTAAAGATGGCAACATCTTTTCATGTGAAGGATGTTTGGGCCTTACCAAACTTTCCAGAAGATCACACAGGATTGCATGAGCTGGAAGTATCTCTCTGTTACTGTTCATTTTAGGGCTCTTTGTCATTCTGACTGGGAAAAAATTAAGGGAAGGAAGCCACTGCCAGAACCATGGATAGCTGGATTGTGAAACTCAATAATAGACCGAGGGGCCTTGAGCTTCCTTCAGTGGTGACTGCTCACTCCACCAGGGTGGATGCAGCCTCCTGGGCAGCCCATTTGAGAGTATTCATGGAAACCATATGCAGAGCGGCATCATTGTCATCTCAACATACTTTCTTAAAACATTACAGAATAGACCCCGGTTCCTTGTCAACAGTAGACTTTGAAAGAAGGACTATACAGTCTTCTGTCACATTGTAAAAGTAGATCACTTTGTCAAGCAGTACCCACCCTGTCAGCTAGGTATTTATCACAGGTATGCTGCCATGTGGGCACCAGGAAAACTGTCTCAAATACTTACCGTAATTTTCCTTTCCTGGTGCCTATCTATGGCAGCACAAATGCCCAACCTATGCATGTCGGTATATGACCAATTACAAAGAATGTGAGGGTCTTGTCTATCTTTATATGCTACTCACTGGTCCTGAGGGAGTGGTTAAAAGGCAGAGCACTATCACAGGTATGCTGCCATGGATAGGTACCAGGAAAAGAAACTTACGGCAAGTATTTGATACAATTTTACATTTTTTTGCTTTTGTATTGTTTTGGGTGGTGCCCTTAAAGTCCCAACCACAATTGGTTCTTTTTGGATTTCTAGATTGGGGATGTTGGCACCCCATAACATGCAACTATCCTAATATTTTGCCATGACAAGTAGCATTTCAGAAGAAATGTATAGAATCTGTGTTTCTCTCATGACAGGTTTTCACTGCCCAGTCATGTGACCAAGGTGGTGTTAAGGTGATGCTACCAGAGGATCATAGGTAGGTGATGTTCTGATGGAGATGCAGTACTGGCTGAAAAGTGATCTTTCACACTAAGGGAGACCACATGATCAATGACACAAAACTGCTCATGTGACTGGAGAACATGTACTCGGTTACCCTTTGTTAAGTCCTATAGTTATATGGCCTCTCAGATGTTTGCTGCAAAAAAATCAATTGAAATGACCAAAATCTTATAAGTATACAAACATATAAACGCAATGAATCCATGACCAAAGATCAAAAAGGTATACATTTTATGGGCCATATCTGTTGCACGCACCTATGAGATGATCCTTCATCTTCTCCAGAACAGGATCCATATCATCTAAACTCAGGCTCTTTGCCCCTACTAGGCCTTTCAGCATTCCAAACATTCCCCCAAAGCTGCTCTTCTTGGTGCTAAAAGAAACAGAGAGATGAAGGTCATCTAATATCACCTCACCTCACATTGGTTGTAAAAATTACTTGTCCACAGTACCTGGGCTTGGCAGGAGCTGTAGTGTTGGTTCTAACAGCAGGAACTTCTTCCTCTTCTTCCTCCTCACTGCTGCTTTCACACTCTACATCAGGGAGGTTCCCCACCATCCGGCCTGATCTCTGGAGGAACATGCAGAGGGCACATGACAATCATATTTATTCCATGCAGACATCAATTTTTAATAAGGCTATTTATTGTTGTACCCGATAAAAAAAAAAAAAAAAAAAAAAAAAAAAGAAGGGTTACTAGCTAAAAATAGCATTCTTATTAGTGAAAATTATTCTACTTAATGTGTTTTCAATGCATTACACAAAAGAAGCAGCAATAGCTTTTTTTTTTATTTTTAAGTTCCCGTGTTCATTACCACACATTGAAGGTGGGAAGAAGATACCCCAAGGCTGAGGAGTCACCCAATGGAGGAGGGTTTTGCCCCCAAACAGGACATTTGTCCACAGTTCTGGAAGGTAGGAAGGCTCCTTAAGGGCTTAGGAGCTCTAGAGGTGGAGGAAGGTTTCCCTTGTGCTAAGAGGGTCATTCAACATAGGTAGGTTCTCCCTACACACTGGAGGTGGGACAGCAAAAAAGGAAGGCTCCTCTAGGTTCAGGAGGTCACCTAACATAGGACAGTTCCCCAGCTGCAGGGGAAAAGCAATCTGGGCCAATTAATAAAACAAACACAAACATGGAGCAGCTGCCCAGAACAGCCAATTAGGTTTTCTCTTTTAACCACTAGCCTACAGGGCACTTATACCCCCCCTTCCTGCCCAGGCCAATTTCCAGCTTTCAGCGCTGTTACAGGACAATTGCACGGTCATGCAACACTATACCCATATGAAATTTTTATCATTTTTTTGTGACAGATAGAGCTTTATTTTGGTGGTATTTAAATCACCTCTGGGTTTTTTATTTTTTCTTAAACCAAAAACCACTGAAAATTTTGAAAAAAAAAAAAAGTTTTTTCTTAGTTTTTGTTATAAAATTTTGTAAAATAAGTGATTTTTCTCCTTCACTGATGTGCACTAATGAGGCTGCAGTGATGGGCACTGATGAGGAGGCACTGTAGGTGGCACTGATGGGCATTGACAGGCATCACTGATGGACACTGAAAGGCAGCACATCAGTGTGGCACAGCATGTGGCATTGATGTGCACTGGTAGGCACTGAAATGTGGCATTGATGTGGCACTGGCAGGTGGCATGGATGAGCACTGACAGCTGGCACTGATGGACACTGACAGATGGCACTGCTGGGGCTACACAGATCATCAGGGCACACTGATCATCAGTGCCCTGATGATCAGTGTACATGTCCCCTCTGTGGGATGCCGATTACCGGCTGTCCTCTCCTCTGTCAGCACGACAGCTTGCGAGGAGAGAAATGCCGATAACCGGCATTTCCCTATTTACATGCGATCCGATTTACATGTGATCTGCTGTGGCCGATCGCCGCATGCTCCCGGAGCCGCCCATGCGTGGTTAGAATGGGAGGATGTCATATGACGTCCTCCCAGAACGAGAGAACCACCTTGCGCCCATCATTGTACTATATGGCGGGCAGGAGGCGGTTGAAAGAATCTAGGAAAAGTGATTGACTGCTATTTCAAATGTCAAGATGTCTTTGCCCTGATGCTTATATACAAGGCCCACTGAGTGAAGTGCAATTCGCTCTGCAGGAAGGTGAGTGGGCTCTCCGGCCTGCTCCATTGAGATGCAGAGGACTTGTAATGGAGTTACACCAACATCTGTGTTCTCTACTGAAGATAAAATGCTGCCTCTTGCATACATCCACTTACCAGGGCCGACAGGTCCTCATCAGGGACTGCTGGCTCCTCTGTATTGCCATTGATAGTGGGTTTGCTGAAGTCTAGCTCTTTGGCATTCACTGGCCCACCTGCCCACACTCGGGGCTTCTTCCCTTTTTCCTTTTCCTTTTGAGATTCGGGCTTTGGGGATTTGCTGCAAGAGAAAGAAATGAAAAGTCAGCTCTGTAGTCATACATAGTACATAATATATTCCAAGGACCTCTAACAGACAAGAGCTTTGTGCAGATCTATGCATAATAGAAACAAGGTCATTCTGAAGCTTTGCTCCATGTAGTGAGGTGTTTGTGACGGGTCTCAGACAGAATTAAGAGGAGGAAATGAGGGGTGGTTTACAAGCGAACATTTTAAGGGTGTGTCTCTTGATTGCACAAGGAGTAGCAGCATGAAATACGGCAGTTCCAGAATATATAAACACAGATAATGCATTTGCCTGCTCCACAGCAGCTATAAAGCAGATTTTCAGGTTCCCTCACCTTGCTTTATCTCCCCCCTTCATCATCTTCTTAAAGAACGCTTCGCGCTTCCTCTGCATGGCTTCATCCGAGGTCAGCTCCTCCTTCTCCGCAGGTACTGCCGGGGTGCCAGCTTTACCTGCTTTATTGGGTGGAGTGATCACTTCTGGTGCAGTGTCTGGAAAGAGAGAAAGCTCATCGTGACATGGTAATGGAAACCAGGAATGCCCCATCTACAGCTAGTTTAACACACATACTGATCTCCTTTCAACCAGACTGCCAAAAACCATTCCTACCTGTATTTCCACATGAATATCAAAGTGTATGAGAGCTGGCACTTGATACAAAGCGAGCTGGGAAGAAGTGTCTGGAGTGGAGAAGTAGGATATTTGCTTCTAATAATAAGGTGATTTGCTTACCTTACTTGGACATCCCAAAAGCTGGACCAGACCTATCTAATTGGGAACAGGCCCTTCACAGATAAAGAACTACTGGTAGGAATCTATCTCCATGCTGGATTGGGACTTCTGGGTCTTTCATCAAAAGAGTTCATGGCTAGCACAGAGACGTCTAGTTTCCAATCCCCTCCATGGCCACAGGTGTATAAAATCAAGCACCTAGACATGCAGACTGCTTCTACAAACATTTGTGAAAGAATGGGTTGCTCTCAGGAGCTCAATGACTCCAAGCGTGGTACTGTGATAGGTTGTCACCTGTGCAATAGGTCCATCCGTGACATTTCCTGGCTACTAAATATTCCACGGTCAAGTGGTACGCCACGTAAAAATGACAGAGCGGGGTCATCGCATGCTGAAGCGCACAGAAGTCGCTAACTGTCTGCAGAGTAACTTAGTTAGTCTGGCTGAGAAAAAAAAAAATAAATTTATACATTTTACACCCACAGTTGATCCAGAGGAAGGCAAAAAAAAACCTCCAGCAAAAGCATGATCCAATTTCCTCCTGCTGGGGAAAAAATTTCTTCCTGATCCCCAGAGAAACAAATCGGATATTCCCTGGATCAACTTTACCTATAAATGTTAGTATCCAGTTATATTCTGTGTATCCAAGAAAGAATCCAGTTAATAGCTAAAGCAGGGCTTAAAATTTCGAGCCTAGACCTACTAGCCAGGCACAAACCTTACTCTCCACCAGTTGCCCCACCCAACCTTGCCCAGGTCTGCCTCCAACCCCACCCCCAGCCTGCCCCCAACCACACCCCCTTAAAGCTTATGAAATTACATTTTTTTTTTAGAAGAGTCCAAAATATAAAACTGTATACTGTAATGTATATCCCAGCTCCCCTGTACTCCATTATAGTGATATGACATGTATACAGTACTTACTCCTTGAGTCCCCCACGGCAGTGGAGAGGGTGTCTCCTCTCAGCAGAGGAGAGCGGACCTCTCCTGCACCTGTCCCCTCAGCGGCGGTGCTGAAGAAGCCGCAAACCGGAACCGGTCTCCCCGCATTTGGCGAACAGCTTTTTCAAGCCCTGAGCTAAAGATCTCCAAACTTGGTGTGGCCTTCAGATTAGCACAACAGTGAATATAGAGCTTCATGGAATGGGTTTCCATGGCCGAGCAGCTGCATGGGAGATGTGTTCCTTGCACTTGGCGGTTTCACCAGCAATAATAAAATGACACAATTGTATATTATACATCAAACGTATCTTAGTCTCACGGAGGTCCGGCGGCCACCATATCTTTACCAGCTGGTCAGTGCTCATAGCAGCTTTAGGCTGCTTTACTGCTTAATAAGGATTTGCATTATAAGGAAATTGCCACATGTGTGTTCATTTTTAATCACCAAATACATTTAATAAACTTGGATAACAATTTACTGCACTATGGGCATTTCCCTTTTTTAGCTCCTTGGTGAGCTTTTAATCCCCCAGAGCTCCCCCGGTGACCATCACTGTATCCAGAAGAGGTTTACACTCATGTCCTTAAAAGGGTACCTCCGGGTATAACGCCACCTTGATGTTATTCATCTACCTTGGGCTGTTTTCTCCAGTACCACCTTAAAGAGGGATTCCTGGCAGACCTCCATTGATTAATATATTGTGCATTATCCATGCGTATCTGGTGAGTGCGAATTTTACCTATTTGTTTGCCGCTCACAGAACTCTGCTGATTAACATATTACCGGGAAATAACTGTGTCACCTTGAGCCGCAATTATTTTGATATATAATTTCCTTTATGGACTTTAAACATATCAGGAGCGGTTTATATTTAATTTATATACATCAGAAAATTATTTGTTTTATTATTTTTTAGCGCTGCACAATTTTATACATATCTTTTCGGAAGGTTTTATGGCTTCCTTTTAGTGTACAGCTGCTTTTTATCATTATAAGCGCTCGCTGATACCTCATATATCCAGTATCTTAGTCTCAGTTGTATAGAATGGGTAGGAGGACTATGTCTGAATGTTTACGTCATCATCAAAGTGAAGCAGATTTTGGTCATTTGATATGGACATGTAGAGAGGTACAGAGATACAGGAGTCAAGTAACAGATAAATGATCAGAAATACTTAAAAAGTCGGTAACTTGTAGTCCAGAAGTATGCTTAATGGGGATATTGGAGGATAAGAGATGGTCGAGATATGTAAATATTTTTCTACAAGAAACACTATTTATGGCGCAAAAACAGATTGCTATGAGATGGATTCAAAATAAACTTCCCTCTATTAATCAATGGATTAAAGCAGATAATCATACGATATATGAAAAAGTAATGTAATGTAGGACCATAGGAGGACTCCACAGAAATTTTAGAATATCTGGAGTGAGTGGTGTAAGGTTGAAGTGATTAATAATGAAAAAAAAGAAATGAGAGATGTAAGGTAGTGGATGGCAGTAATTGGGATGATTAAAATGTGAAGATGATTAAGTGCTTGGAAGGAATATGTAGTAAATGTGTATTAAAAGAAATAAATTGTATTTTGTACTATTTTAAAATGTACAATAAGTAATAAAAGAGTAATTAAAAAAAAAAAAAAAAAAAATATTTATATTATATATATATATATATATATATATATATATATATATATATATATATATATATATATATATATATATATATATATATATGTCTAGACAGGCCTGGTCACCCTTCTGAAATCAGTTTACAGCTGAAGTTAGGCCAGGGACTGCCTCCCTCCCCACAAAATTTACCTCCGTTCTAGCGAATCATCGCGATACATTAAAATCTTGGGCCATATAGTATTTTAGATTTTCAGTCTGTGACATAGCTTTAGAAATATATTATCTATTTTCAGATTGTCTACACCTCTGCTGTACAGTCCACCACCTATGCTGTTGGTTTGTGAATGTATTGTATCAAAAACTTAACCAAAAAATAATGACAGGGAGCTAGTTTAGGGAATTTCTGAAATATTTATCATTGTTTATTGTAAAACTGAATAAAAGATTTTCTAAAAAAAAAAAATAAATAGAAATATGAGGCCCAAATACTCAACTTAAACCCTGGACAAATGGCATGGCAGATCCCAAAGCTGCTTTGTTCTGGATGGCAAGAGGGGAAAACACTTTTTCAGGTGCCTTGTAGTGTATGCATTTCTCGTTGGCTGTTCATTAGTGGGGTCCTCAATACTTCAGTAGGAACCTGATGTCAAGGCTCAGGGTAGCAACAATACTGGTCTGAGGTGGATCACAGACCTTCACTCCAAGAAGCATGACAAAGGGTCAGGTGAGTAAAAAAAAAAACAAAAACAAAAAAAAAAAAAAAAGGCTTTGGGAGGTTCTGTACTTCTAAGGATCTCTCTCTCTCTCTCTCTCCCCCCCCCCTCTCTCTCTCTCCATATAATCAGAAAAAAAAGAAAAGAAAAGTGCCTCCAAGTGTAGCATTTATAAAAACATATTGGTAAAATGAAAAACAAATATGCACTCACATTTAAAAGGCTTTTAAAAAGGCATATCAATAAGTGTCTAGCAGGTGGCGACCGTCCAGGTGGTCAATGGTGTGCAAGCCCCTCCACATGGATGTGGTGTAAGGTGCTAGGAACCAGGAAGCTGACCAGGGGAACACCAGGAAGTGCCAGCAAAGCAGCAGACCGAGTGTAGACATAACATGGATGAGAACCACTGTGGACAGCAGGGAAGTGTTGCAGTCCCACAAAACGTCCGTGCTGACGACGTGTGTGATGTCAATGGGTGCGAATATGCGTTTTGGGGTGTGGCCCCCTTTGTCAAACCACCTGGGGATTGATAAAGCGGGACACACCCCAAAATGCATAACCACGGCCATCAACATCGCACATGTTGTAAGCATCACAGCCATTTTGTGGCCTGCAAAACTTCGCTGCTATCCACAGTGGTTCTCATTAATGTGATGTCCACACTCGGTCTGCTGCTTCTGCTGGCTTTTCCTGGTGTTCCCCCTGGTCAGCTTCCTGGTTCCTAGCACCTTACACCACCATCCATGCGGAGGAGCTTGCTAACCAATGACAACCTGGAAGATCGCCACCTGCTGGAGACTTATTGATACGCCTTTTAAATATGAGTGCATATTTGTTTTCCATTTCACAAATACGTTTTAATCAATGCTACACTTAGGTATTGGCACTTCCCTCCTTTTTTCTGTTTATACAGAGATCGTATTTTACTACAGAAAGCATTTCACTCTCATTACTTACTTTCCTTCCTTGAAGCCTTGTTTTTCTTGTTGTTCTCCTTGGTCTTGTCCCCTGGCTTCTCAATCATGGATTTCACCGTCTTCTTTGACTTCTCTGACTGTTCGAATGTCTTCATGGTGGCAGGGGGCCTAGCTTTTCTGCTCCCCTCTGCTTCCCTGTGGAGAAAACAAACAGTTACACTTGTCAAATATAATAATCACTGATCAAACATCACTGAGAAATGTATTCTCCATGAACACTGGTCACATTAAATATTGGGATAACAACTTTATATTCTTATTAGAGTGAATTATGCAATATTTTAAAAAACATGTATAAAAAAGGCACATTTAACAGGATTATGCTGTCTATGTCATCAGTAGCTCTTATACCAATTGTAAAGTAAATCACAAGTGAGTCACCACCACCAATAAACATTGTACAATAAAGGTCAAAAATAAAGAATATTGTAGTCACAATTTTCAGAAACATCTGGTTAGTTTTTACTTTCAGTTTTTAGTTTCACTGAAGTGCCAGAGTAGCTTTCCACCACAATCACACACTATTATACATGTATATAAAACGGACAAATTCCACAGTGCCATACAGGACAGAAGGAGCGCCCGATGTCCAGAAGAATGCAAGTTGGATGGTAGATTAATATTAAATTACCATCCGACTTACTGTATTTTTCGCTCCATAAGACGCACCTAGGTTTTAGAGGAGGAAAACAAAGAAAAAAATATTCTGAACCAAATGGACTACCGACACACTACAGGAGATGACGACCAGAGACTGCCGACACACTACAGGAGATGACGACCAGAGACTGCCGACACACTACAGGAGATGACGACCAGAGACTGCCGACACACTACAGGAGATGACGACCAGAGACTGCCGACACACTACAGGAGATGACGACCAGAGACTGCCGACACACTACAGGAGATGACGACCAGAGACTGCCGACACACTACAGGAATGACGACCAGAGACTGCCGACACACTACAGGAGATGACGACCAGAGACTGCCGACACACTACAGGAGATGACGACCAGAGACTGCCGACACACTACAGGAGATGACGACCAGAGACTGCCGACACACTACAGGAGATGACGACCAGAGACTGCCGACACACTACAGGAGATGACGACCAGAGACTGCCGACACACTACAGGAGATGACGACCAGAGGCTGCTGACACAGTACAGGAGGATGACCAGAGACTGCTGACACAGTACAGGAGGATGACCAGAGACTGTGGTCATTGGGGAGCGGAGGGGAGGCAGAGAGCGGGTACCCGAATTTGACAGGTACCCGCTCCCACTTCCATGCATTTGTGCTCCCTCCCCCTCTTCTAGGGGATGCGACAGGTCCCAGAAGACTCCAGGACCATTCACAAAAGCACAGCGCTTCTCGCGCATGCTCAGCGGGAACCCGGCTGTGAAGCCGCAAGCTGTCACAGCCGGGTGCCCACACTAAAGATGCCGGCGCCAGGGAGAGAAGACAGTGAGGTCACCGCTGGACGAAGAACAGGTAGGACTGAGGAACAGGTTCTGCTGCACAGAAGAGAAGAGCAGCCGGCCCGGTATTCTAACACGGTGGTGGCGACGGGGGGGATGGGTTAATACCGGGCCGGCTGCTCCATAAGACACACAGACAGGGGGGGGAAACAGTGCATCTTATGGAGCAAAAAATATGGTACATTCTTTTGGACATTGGGTGCTCCTTCTTTCCTATCATTCCAAGTTTACACGTGGATACGATCTTAAACAGGAGGTCCAGGCTCCCTAAAAATTTTAAATAGTCAGCAGCTAAAAATACTGTAGCTGCTGACTTTTACTATAAAAAGGACACTTTCGTGAGTCACACTGCATGTTGAGATTGCTCTTGCAGTCTTCTGGTACCTGTTAAGCGTCCCAGAAGACTGTGGGGGGGAAAGGTAGTTTGGCCAAACTTCTGGAACAGTTTTGCCGCAGTGAGCTGAGCCAGAGGTGGGAACAGGTGTCTGTCAAAACAAGGTACCTGCTCCCTATCCCCCCCAAAAAAAAGTTCCAAATGTGGCGGTGGGGAGGGAGGCAGACAAGCAGAGCTTCCCCTTTTGGGCTGAGCTCTGCTTTAAAGCTGTACCAGAAAGGCAGCATCCCAAACCCTAAGAGGGTTCACTGCCAGTATCCACCATTGGACACAACCTACTGGAAGGACAACCACCTACCCAACCACAACCAGTGACTGATCCAGTCAGCCCAACGCAGTTCAGCACAAAAAAAAAAAAAAGATACAGTTCTATACAGAGAACACCAAACCATTTCACATCAGTCTCAGCACCAGAGTAGCTTACACTCTAATGTCCCCCCCGCAGTCATACACTATTACTATAGATCTATATAGCGCTGACATATTCTGCAGTGCTATACAGAGAACACTGAGCCAGTCCCAGCGTCAGAGGAGCTTACACTCCAATAACCCATCCGCAGTCAAACACTTATTTGCATAGCTCCAACATATTCACTGTGTGCTGTACAGACAACACCAAGCTAGTTACAAGATGCTCTACACCAGAGGAACTTACACTTCAATATCCCCACCGCAGTCACAGTGTTCTATTTACTGCAAGCCAAGCACTCAAGAATTCCCCCAGCTTTCCAGCATTGCAGACGGGATGAGTATGTATGCAGTGCGAAGGTTTACATTTAAAGTGTAAATAAAATATAGAGGGGATTTCCTTCACTTTGAGAGAGATATCCTCTCACTTCCTGTTATATCTACAACAGGTACTTTTTTCAGTCAAGGCACCCTTTAAAATTATGGATAAATGTAAAAACTATTCTAATAGTTTTCTATAACTCAGCAACATCCACACTTGTAGGACACCCAACATTAGAGGTGATTTATTCTTCCAAAGCAAATACACTTTTACACACTGGTACTGACTAGCATTCCAATGTTTCTCTTCTCCCTCAGTTCTTCTCCATCACTGAGGGGAGGATCAAACAAGGATGCTATGCAGGCAACCGAGATCCTCCTGATCAATTGATGATGTCATTGGTTGTGAGGACGCCAGCGGCTAGGTTGTAGTGGTGCACAATGAAAACCTGTGGCTTTGTGTAACTAAAAGGCAGGCTTGATCCACCCGCTGGCTTGTATACAGGTTTTGGGCAATTTTAAGACATTTTGCCAAGCCACACCCGAAAAAAAAACCTCAAGGCACCCTGGTTGAAAAAGGCTGGTCTACAGGACAAGAAATTGAGGAAGATCTCCTCAATGTCAAAAGAAGAAAGAAAATATTTGTGATTGGCGAGATATTCATTCTCTACTGTACCACAAAACAACATATTTTGACATTAGATACACTTAAAAGTTTCACAATGAATTTCACATGAACACATAAATTAACTGCCTCCTGCCCACCCTATAGGGAAATGACGGACGGACGGGAGCTCCCCTGTTCTGGGAGGACGTCATGATGTCCTCCCACTCTAGCTGCGATCCCCTCTTGGGGGCGCACAGCAATCCCTAGGACACAGCGGATCACTAATCGCAGTAAAGCGCTGATGACGTAGGCATAAATCACAAACACAGCCCAGTATATAAAACAGCACAGTTAACCCTTTGATAGCCCCACATTAACCCCCTTCCTGCCCAGTGTCATTAGTACACTGTCGGTGCTTTTTATTAACACTGATCACTGTATTGGGGTCACTGGGGATGTCAGTGACACCAAGTCCGTTCCCCCTAGTGTCAGAATGCCCACCACAGTCTCGCTATAAGTTACTGATAGATGCCATTACTTGTAAAAACAAATTTTTTAAATTCCAGTATATATACACACACCGCCATTTGTGACCACTATAACTTTCACACAAACCAATTAATTTACACGTAGTGGGATTTGTTTTAGCAAAGACATGTAGCAGAACACACTTTGGTCTAAATTTATGCCGAAATATGATTTTTAAAATTTTTTTACTGGACATGTTTAATAGCAAAATTGTCGGTCTTTTTCATTTTATTTTTAATAGCGCAAAAAATGCACAGGCGATCAAATACCAAAAGAAAGCTCTATTTTTGGGGAAAAAAAAAAAAAAAAAAGGACAAATTTCATTTGGGAGCAGCATTGCATGACTGCGCAATTGTTAGTTAAGTGTTCTTGCAAAGAACACTTGTTTTCTCACAAATATATTCTTATTCCGTTTCTTATTATAGCCAAATTTGCCACGCCTACTCCTCCCACAGTTTTTACACTACAAAGACAAGTAATATATCAAAACGTGCGGATTGTTCTCGATCGGATTGCTATTACTTTGTGGAACGTTTCGCCGAATCGTTCACGAAATATCGCGGTTTTTGTGGTGAAATTTTCCCATAGGAATGAATGGAGCAACTACAGTGGGAACTGACAAAGCTACAGTGTGGAAGGAAAAATCAGAACATGATTTGTAAACTGCCATCACTCCCTCATTTTCAAGCCCACCTACACATATCTTATATCAAAACATTCAGCTATCCCTGCTGTCACTAAGCCATAGTCCTGATAGCTTTCACAATATGACTATTTGTTTGCAACTCACGCCGCCTATTGACTTTCATTGAAACTTCACTCACAGCCACCTGAAATTTTAAGGGACATTTTTAAACTGCGACTGTGCCTTCATTTTTAATATTTCAGAGATATACTATACATCAAAATGTAGGTCTGTTTCTTGTGATTCTTGCAATATCAAGCTCTTTGCAGTAGCATTTATACTTTTACAAGTGTTTGAAGATGGCAATCTCGCTAGTGAAGTTGGCAAGTTGGAGCAGTGTGTTTAGAAAAGCCTGTCAGCTTCCTGACTGAGTGAGTTGCTATAACAACCTAACATGACTCACAGGCAGCCGAGTCACCAAGTTGAAATGCATTTCTCACTCTATCAGGCCTGCTTACATTTCATCAATCACTTGGTTAGATTTGGATGCAAGAACACTTCACACAATTTCCCCCGAAATTGTAGATTTTCTAGTTAAATAAATACTATCCTACAGGGCACTTTCACCCCTTCCTGACCAGGTTAATTTTCAGCTGTTGCACTTTGAATGACAATTGCGCAGTCATGCAACACTGTACCCATATGAAATTTTTATCATTTGAGACAGATAGAGCTTTCTTTTGTTGGTATTTAATCATCTCTGGTTTTTTTATTTTTTGCTAAACAAACCAAAAACTGAAACTGTTTGAAAATAAAAAAGTTTTTTTCTTAGTTTCTGTTATAAAATGTTGTAAATAAGTGATTTTTCTCCTTCACTGATGTGCGCTAATGAGGCTGCAGTGCAGTGATAGGCACTGATGAGAAGGCACTGGTAGGTGGCACTGATGGGCAATGACAGGCAACAATGATGGGCACTGAAAGGCAGCACTGTCTGGCACTGAAAGGCAGCTTAGATGGGACTGATATGTGGCATTGATGTGCACTGGTAGGTGGCATTGACGGGCACTGACCAGTGGCACTGATGGGGCTACACGGATCATCAGGGCACACTGATTATCAGTGCCCTGATGATCAGTGTACATGTCCCCTCGGCTCTGCTCTCCTCTCAAGCTGTCAGCGTAACAGCTCATGAGGAGAGAAATGCTGATAAACTAGCATTTCCTTATTTACATGCGATCAGCTATGATTGGACATAGCTGATCACATGACAGAGCTGACGTCTTCGGCTCTTTCCGTTGATCGGTGAGCCGCTGTGTCCCAGGGACACAGAGCACCACTGACTGCAGCACTGTGCGCCCCTGGGGGCGTGTGCACACGTAGTTAGAGTGGCAGGATGCCCTATGACATCCTCCCAGAACGTGACAACCGCCTTGCGCCCATCATTTCCTTATATGGCGGGCGGGAGGGAGGCGGTTGAAGTAACAGCACCGTAATGCAAAAAATGGCCTGTTCAGGAAAGGGGGGTAAATCCTCTGGAGGGCAAGTGGTTAAAGATAAAAACAGAGATTAACCAGGGTGGTTATTCTGAAAATAAGTATACAGAAAATAAAACATGATTTAGTATAAACACACACAGATAGAACTACAAAAATACCCAGTGCTAATACAGCAGTTGAGGGGAGGCAAGTGCTTGGGGAAAAAGGTTTAATGCAATCAGTGAATCAATTATTATTATTATTAGGGCAGCACAGTGGCTAAATGGTTAGCACTTCCGCCTGGCAGTACTAGGGTCGTTGGTTCAAATCCCAGCCACGGCACCACCTGTCTGGGGTTTGCATGTTCTCCCTGTGCCTGCGTGGGTTTCCTCTGGGTACTCCGGTTTCCTCCCACACTCCAAAGACATGCTGCTAGGTGAATTGGCTCCTGTCTAAATTGCCCCTAGTATGTATGAATGTAAGTTAGGGACCTTAGATTGTACGCCCCTTGAGGGTTAGGGACTGATGTGAATGTACAATATATATGTAAAGTGCTGTGTAAATTGACGGCGCTATACAAGTACCTGAAATAAATACATAAATTATAATTGTACTCACTTGAGAAGGAAGCTGAAGTCATCTTCAAAATCAAAGGAGCCATTCAGTAGCCCTAGAGCCCCGTTCTGCTGTATTTGATTACGATATTTATCCCGAAACTCTTTGTGGACGTCATCTATTAACTTGTCTACATAGGTCAGGGTTAAAATCTTCTGGTACCCCACCTGCAGGGACATGAACAATACAAAAGTGTATATTTACAAATCAGTGAATAGGACTTTCACCAAAGATTCCCTGGTGGAGAATCAATCACAATCATTTAAAGTGGAACTAAAGTCTCAATACTTACTTGTCCAGTGGTCCTGTGCCGGTCTTTGAGCCTCTTCATTGGCCGGTGTGCGATGACATCACTCCTGCACATGCACAGAAGAGCATCATCCCAGCACTGTAAGCGGAGCTGTGCATACGCAGCCCAGGCTACAGTGCTGGTGGAGATGGTGAGCAGGCAAGTAGGGGATTTTATTACAGAAACGACAGTGCATGTCTCTTCTGCCATAAAAGCCTGCCTGTTCTCTGTTTTTTACAGCAGGACTTCAGTTCCGCTTTAAAACATGCGATCCTGGAAGATTCTCCTGCAGAGAAGGTTTGCTCAATGTCATATGCACTGCTTTATAAACATGCCCCAAAGAGTGATGACTTCCAACACAACACTTCCGAGATGAACTAAAGGGCAGAACCCGTCCAAGACCCCTGAAGAGTCGCTGCTGTGGGGTGTATGTGTACACACATACAATAGAAGGTCTGTTTTTGTCAGTTAAAGTAATGCAGCACCGTAATGCAAAAAATGGCCTGGTCAGGAAGGGGGGCAAATCCTCAGGAGGGCAAGTTGTTAAAGACAAAAACAAAGCCAGAGTGGATATTAAAATAAATTAAAACATTTTTATCAAATTTATATTAATAAAATGCTTTTGGAGTACAGATCTATCTAAAGATAGTTTTCTATTTAAGACACATTAATAATTGATAGTATTATTATTATATGAAATGGATCTTAGTTATGTAACATGAGGCGGTATATTCTGCAATATTTACAATTTTTGGTAAACTCATTCAATGACTCCAAACTCTGCAAGTGGAGATAACATGCACTGCATTGATGCATTCACACAATTTCACAGTCACCATGAGAAAAAAAATATGAAATAAAAGAATGAGTCGTTTTCCAACTATGTGTGATTAACCTAAAATCAGTTCTGATATCGGTTTTACTAACCTGACAAATTATTATTCTACAAAGGAAACCTTCATTTTATTTGCAAATATTAAATATTCTAACTACCAGCAAGAACGAGTCGGATTCCTTACAGTTAAAGAACACCTGTCATTTTAGATCCATCATGGCAGCGTCTATTAGCAGGCATCCACTCACCTGCTGCTGACACGTCCCTCACCTTGTTGTGTCCCTGCCGCATCACCAGACGTCCCATTAAAGTGAATGACACTGTCTGTGAGTCAACAGCGGGTCAGAGGAGGAGCCACTGTGAGACAGAGATGACAGCTGCTCTTAAAAAATTAAGATTTAAATCGAGCCTTTTCACTAGTGATTTAAATCAACTTGATTTTAATCAAATCCACCCTGCCATTTTACTTTAAACTGATCAGCGGTGGTCATTTTGATTAGCTCAGAATGAAAAGAGCTTTCCTGGAGCATTTCAGTCCCTTGTAGTGCAACTAAAGCAAACCATCAACTATGGGTGGCAAGGCACTGTCAAAAGATCTCCGGGATACAGCTTTGGAGAGGCACAAGTCAGGAGATGGCTAAAAAAAAAAAAAAAAAAAAGTCATGGTTTTTATCAATATTAAGTATTATCAGTATTAAGAAGTGGAAGGTATTTGGTACAACACAGACCCTCCCTGGATCAGGATGTCTCTCCAAACAGGATGAAAGAGCTAGGAGGAAACTGGTCAGGAGGGGCTACCAAGAGGCCTAAAGCAACTCTGAAGCAGTTGCAGGAATTATGACAGAGTGGTCATTGTGTGTAATAATATCACAAAATCTCCAATGTGGCTTGTATAGGAGGGTTGCAAAAAAAAAAAAAAAGCCACTCCTCCAGAATGGCCACATGCAGTCACCATTGAACTTTGCCAAAACACACCTTGAAGAGTCTGAGGCTGCATGGAAAAAGGTGTTCTGGTCAGATGAGACTAAAACTGAATGATTTGGCCTCAACAGTAAAAGATGTCTGGTGGAAATCCAATACAGCTCACCATCCAAATACCACCATTCCTACAGTAAAGCATGAAGGTGGTAATGTCCTGTTATGGGGGGTTTCTCTGCAGCCAGGGACTGGAGCACTTGTCAGGATAGAAGGGAAAATGGACGGGGCAAAATACCATCAAATTCTTGAGGAAAATCTTCTGCCCCCTCCAAAAAGTTGTCAATGGGAACAAGGTTTACCTTCCAACATGACAATGACAAAAAGCAGAAATGACCACATGGTGGTTGGAGAAAAAGGCGAATGACCTAGTCAGAGCCCAGACTTAAACCCCATTGAAAATCTGTGGAATGACTTGAAGACTGCAGGCCACAAACCGTCACCATCAAATGTAACTGAACTTGAGCAGTTCTGCAAAGAAGAGCGGGCAAATACTGCAAAGTCTAGATGTGCAAAGTTAGCAGACATATCCCAACCGACTACAGGCTGTAATTAAAGCAAAAAGCGGTTCAACAAATTACTGACACAAGGGGGTGATCCTTTTTCTAACTCAGTGAGTCTGTTTTTGAATTTTTAAAACATTTTTCTGACATGTTGATATCTTTCACTTGGATGTTATAGGTTGCACTGAGTAAATACAGCTGAATAAAACAAAAAACATGTCTGTCTTCATTTCAGGCTGCAAAGCAACAAAATGTGATTATTTTAAAAGGGGGTGATTCTTTTCTATACCCACTGTGAATGTGTAAAAATATTCTATAAATAACAAACAAAACAAATTTAAATATTAATAGTTAAAATAGAAAAAAAAAAAAAAAAAAAAATCAGCGGGAAAATAATAGCTGGAGAAGGAGATGAAGGAGTTAAATACAGCTAATTAGAGTAAACTAAGGGTTAATAAGTGGTTAAACAGAGGAAAAAAAAAAAAAAAAAAACTTGTCAGGTTGCTTAAAAGGATAAGTTCACCTTTTAGTAAAAAAATTGTAAATGCACATTTTTTTGCAGGTAAAAAAAAAAAATGTGCATTTATTATTTTTTGTTGCAGGAGCCTGGAAAGCAGGTATTCCTATCCCTTCCAGGTGTGATGTCACAGGAACGTCATTATGAGGATCTTACCACAAACACCAGCTCAACTGACTGATTATCCAGCTTGTACTTGAGGGTGAGGGAGTCATGGGTGAAGGAGGTGTTCCCGCCTCGCTCCTGAAATACAAAGAATGACAGGTGAGTGTGTGTGGTATCACACCCAGGAGACATCAGCTGGACCCATCAGTCCACAAAAAATGCATCTACTGTCACTCCAGTCCAGGCATGTCACATCTGCAGAGTCTTACTTGGTGTGACACCCAGTAATGAAATCATCAACAGGACATTCTACAATCCATGCGGGTGGGGGGGGGGGGGTGATGTGTTCATCTCCCACCAGGGGCACAGCTAACCCCACCCCTCAGTAGTAGCACAAGGCATTCCCCTCCACCTTTCCATGGGGGCACAGCTCTCCCCTCCCTCCTCCCCTCCTTTGGTAGCACATCTCTCTCCCCTCCCCCACAAGCAGGGGCACACAGCTCTCCCCCCCCCAGCAGGAACACAGCTCTTCCCCTCCCTGAGGGCACACTGCATTGGTGGCTAAGCTCTCCCATTCTCCAGTAGGCAGAGTGCTCTACCACCCCCCCCCCCCCCAGTAGTGGCACACTGCTCTCTCCCCCCTCCATGGGGGCACAGTTCTTCTCTCATTCTCTCTTTTGTTTGCACTGCTCTCCCCTTCCTCCAGTGGGCACACAGCTCTCCCCTCCTCCAGTGGGCACACTGCTCTGCTCTCACCCTCAGAGGGGCACACTGCTCTCCTCTGCTCCAGTGGGCATGCAGCTCTCCCCTCCTCCAGCGGGCACGCAGCTCTCCCCACCTCCAGCGGGCACGCAGCTCTCCCCTTCCTCCAGCGGGCACGCTGCTCTCTCCCCTCCTCCAGCGGGCACACTGCTCTCCCCACCTCCAGCGGGCACACTGCTCTCCCCACCTCCAGCGGGCACACAGCTCTCCCCTTCCTCCAGCGGGCACAAAGCTCTCCCTTCCTCCAGCGGGCACGCTGCTCTCCCCTTCCTCCAGCGGGCACGCTGCTCTCCCCTTCCTCAGCAGGGGCACACTGCTCCCCCCCTCCTCCAGTGGGCACACTGCTCTGCTCTCCCTTCCTCCAGTGGGCACACTGCTCTCCCCCCTCCAGTGGGCACACAGCTCTCCCCTCCTCCAGTGGGCACGCAGCTCTCCCCTTCCTCCAGGGGGCACACTGCTCTCCCCTCCTCCAGTGGGCACACAGCTCTCTCTCCTCCTCCAGTGGGGGCACGCTGCTCTCCCCTTCCTCCAGCGGGCACACTGCTCTCCCCTTCCTCCAGCGGGCACACTGCTCTCCCCTTCCTCCAGCGGGCACGCTGCTCTCCCCTTCCTCCAGCGGGCACGAAGCTCTCCCTTCCTTCAGCGGGCACAAAGCTCTCCCCCTCCTCAGCAGGGGCACGCAGTTCTCCCCTTCCCAGCAGGGGCACGCAGCTCTCCCCTTCCTCCAGCAGGGGCACGCTGCTCTCCCCTTCCTCAGCAGGGGCACGCTGCTCTCCCCTTCCTCAGCAGGGGCACGCAGCTCTCCCCTTCCTCAGCAGGGGCACGCTGCTCTCCCTCTCCCCTCCTCAGCAGGGGCACGCAGCTCTCCCCCTCCTCAGCAGTGGGCACGCAGCTCTCCCCCCCCTCCAGGGGCACACTGCTCTCCCCTCCTCCAGTGGGGCACGCTGCTCTCCCCCTCAGGGGGCACACTGCTCCCCCTTCCTCCAGTGGGCACACTGCTCCCCCACCTCCAGTGGGCACACAGCTCTCCCCTTCCTCCAGTGGGCACACTGCTCTCCCCTCCTCCAGCGGGGGCACGCTGCTCTCCCCTTCCGCCAGCGGGCACACGCTCTCTCCCCTTCCGCCAGCGGGCACGCTGCTCTCCCCTTCCTCCAGCGGGCACGCTGCTCTCCCCTTCCTCCAGCGGGCACGCTGCTCTCCCCTTCCTCAAGTGGGCACACAGCTCTCCCTTCAGCAGGGGCACACTGCTGCTGCTCTCCCCTCCTCCAGTGGGCACACAGCTCTCCTCTCCCCCTCAGTGGGGGCACACTGCTCTCCCCTTCCTCCAGTGGGCACCAGCTCTCCCCTCCAGTGGGCACACTGCTCTGCTCTCCTCTCCTCAGCAGGGGCACACTGCTCTCCCCTCCTCCAGTGGGCACACAGCTCTCCCCTTCCTCCAGTGGGCACACAGCTCTCCCCTCCCTCTCAGCGGGGGCACACTGCTCTTCCCTCCCCCTCAGCGGGGGCACACAGCTCTCCCCTCCCCCAGTAGTGGACAGCCACCTGTAGGATGACAGAGCGAATCAGAGCATTGACAGGCCCGGTGAAGGATCCTTTCACCCCCTGGAAGCACCAGAGCACGATGCCGCCTTTACTGAAGATAGTGAAGAAGTCCAACATGTTGTCCACACAGAACACACCGACACCAGCCGAGACACGTCAGAGAACCAATGCCAACCGTCACTTCCGTCTGTGCCAGGGGGAGGCACAATGACTTCCGGCCCCGGCCATCTTTGTACACCTGTCTCTGAACTCTTCAGCATTGCTCCGCCTCCGCTAGAAGATTTGTCTCCGCTTCTGCGGCCATTTTCCCTGAGACCACCCCTACAATATCTTTCTCCATGGGCTTCATACAAATGGCCAATCCTGGAGAACATTGGAGACACTTCTACCAGCTTGGGCGGGGACATGTCACTAGGTGATGACATCATGTGAAAGTCCTGTATTCCCTTGTACAGAGCTCAGACAGATGAGAGCTATGGGTGTGTGGAGGAGAGCATGGCTCCTGTGCAAGGGGAGCCCTCAGCATGGGGCCCTTGTATGGACACACAGGGGGCTGAGGACAGGTGCTGCTCTGCTGAGGGGCCGGGAGGACCCCCCCAACTGTGAGTGACACCTCTTATTATTATATCAGGTTATTGATGCTGAGTACACCTCAAATCTGGATTTGTTTTTACTAGAAAATTACTTAGAACCCCCAAACATTATATATTTGTAAGCAGAGGCCCCAGAGAATAAAATGGCGGGTTTTGCAATTTTATGTCACATAGTTTATGCTTAGCGGTTTTTCAAATGCAATTTTTTTTTTCATTCACTTTTACCACTTGCCCTCCAGATGATGCCCCCCTCCTGACCAGGCCATTTTTTGCGATACAGCGCTGCGTTACTTTAACCGACAATTGCACGGTCATGCAACGCTGTACATAAATGAAATTTGTCAGTTTTTTGCCCACAAATTGAGTTTTCTTTCAGTGGTATTTGATCACCTGTGCGGTTTTTTGTTTTTTAATTTGTTGTGCTATAAACAATAAAAAGACTGGCAATTAAAAAAAAAAAAATATATATATATATATATATATATATATATATATATATATATATATATATATATATATATATATATATGGGTTTTTTTTTTTTGTTTTTTTTTTGCTATAAAACATATCCAATAAAAAAAATCTAATTTCTTCATAAATTTAGGCCAAAATTTATTCTGCTAAAAAAAAAAAAATCCCAATACGTGTAAATTAACTGGGTTACGTGAAAATTATAGCATTTACAAATGGTGGTATTATACTGGGATTTTATTTTTTTTTACTAGTAATGGCGACAATCAGCGACTTATAGCGGGACTGCGGCGGGCATTCTGACACTGGGGGGAACTGACTGTCACTGACATCCCCATTGACACTAATACAGTGATCAGTGCTAGTTTGCACCGCTGCACGGGTGTGCGCAATTTTAAGGCGTGACATGTTTGGTATCTATTTACTCAGAGTAACATCATCTTTTATACTTAACCAAAAATTGGGTTTAGTACTGCATTGTTTTTTTTTTTCATTAAAAATGTTATCCCAAAAAATTGTGTTTGAAAAACTGCTGCGCACATACTGTGTTGCATAAAAAATTTTCAAAACCTACCAATTTATACTCTAGTGCCTCTGCTTTAAAAAAAAAAAAAATACAGTAAACACACATACTGTAGCTTATGTTCGATTTCAGTGATTGGGGCTCGATCCATTGTAATGTACGTTGACCTTTTCCCAAAACACATTGGATGTTTTATTACACAGTGACAGGTCTAAGGTGAAAATCCACCTGGCAAATGTACAGTCTCCCGAGCTTCATTAATAATCAAAATGTGGTATAAAAATAGATTCAGATGCTTTGTAAGGATTTAATGATTACCATTTGGTGTCTCCGAGAACAGCAAGGCTTGCATTTGTTCAACCTTGTTAATGAGCCAATAATTTATATCAGGTTAATGTCATTTTAAAATCTTTTCAGTCTTATAAAATCTGCAGCTTTCATTAAAAATATCCCGTGGTGATCCTGCCACAAAGTCCTTCTTCAGGCACTTCCTGTTATAGGGTGGCAACATTCTGTCTTTGTCTTTCACGCGGGCTCCTGAGTTGTCACACTCTCAAACGGGCTTTAGATGGAGATCACACATGGCCATTTCAACACACACACTATACAGGCACAGTCCGCTGTTGTGACCATCAGGAAACGTGCCCTGAGAAAGGCCATGCAGCCATCAGTGGAGTGCATGTAGGTAGGAAATGGCTGCAAAGGGACTGCAGGAAATCAGCCGCACTGAGATGTAACAAAGGTTACAAGTATGTCACTTAACAAAAAAAGCTGTTAATGATACACAGTACAGATGAAATGACATTGCAAGACTTTACATCTACTTTAATAGTTAACTGATTGACCTTACCTATTGCCTGGAGATGCTCTGGAAACTAAAGGCAAAGCTTGTTTTTTTCCATTTTTGTTAGAGAAAGGGAGCATTATAACTCCTGTCAAGTTTTTTTTTTTTTTTTTTTTTTTTTTTTTTTTCTTTCTGCCATCTGTCTCCTATTGGGGCTATTTCCTTCCACTTCCTGTTCCATTCTCAAAACATGAAGTAAAAGATAATCCCTCCAAAGTGAGGGAATCCCTGGTTGTCACCAGGGCCACCAGAAGTAGTGTCCCTGTTTGAAGATTTCTGCTCTTTTCCTGTTCTGGTGACAACTCAAAATGTGAGATTTTCTTTCATTCTCCGTGATAATATAAAACAGGACTAACGGGGGCACAGACAGAAGTAAGATTTGACAGGTATTCTTGTGCACTAGATAACCGACACACGATGTATGTTCTATTTCTACTTTGACATGTTATTTAGAATGTTACCTATTCTACTTATGTTCCACTTGTATATGACCGCTGTTGACTGCTGTTTATAGTTGTGATTCTGTTTTTTACTATAAAGCGGTTGAAATTGTACTTTGTACAGTAAAAATTATTGAAAGGAAAACTTGACAGGTATTCTAGTCCCTTTCCACTCTGCCCAAAACTAAAAAAAAAAAAAAAAAGGTTTTGCCTCTAGTTGTACTTTAATCTCCAGCACAGGTTCTGGTGCCAAATCTCCCTGATGATTTGATCTCTTCCTATCTCTTCCTTTCAGGCAGGGTACACATTTTATGTCTTTGTGTACAATTTAAAGTGGACCTGAACTCAAGAAGTGAAGATTTATTTTATAGGTAACCTCTAAAAATGTTAACTGTGTATAAGGAGTATCCTGAAAGCTCTACCTTTTTTTGCTTGAATTCTTCCTGAAAAATATCTGCACACGTCCTGTGTCTTGAGCCTCATTAGCAGTGTGGGATCATTTAAGGCACTGCTAGTCTCACCAGATTTGGAGAGAGGTTTGGTGATATCTCTACTCTGTACTGACCACTGTTCTCCTTGCTGGAGAGGAAGCTGCACCTAAGTATTGGCAGTGCAGGGATCTCCCTGTATCTGCTTTACATATTTTTTGGATTTTCTTTTCTTCCTCCACTTATCCTGCTGCTTGGAAATTCCACCAGTAGTCATCACATCACCAGTCATTGGGGAGGAGAAGGGGTGGAGGAATAGGTACCTCTGACATGAGGAAGCAAAGCCCTGCTTTTCTACCAAGATGGCCCCATCCATAGCCATGGAAAGGCAGTAATCGAGTGGCTAGTCATTTACCCTTTTGCCTGCTTTTATTTTAACACAGCTTCTATAGTACAGGTCCTCTTTAATGTTATTATATCCCTTTTTTGTCCTCACCATACGCAGTACAAGATATTAACATTGTGAGAATCAATATTAATATTAAAGTTGATAGATCTCATTCATGAAATGCATTCAGTACGTCAAATGGCTTACTCATTCTTATTTTGCTTCCTTCTCATAGATCCATCCCTGACGCAGGAATTTGATAAATTCCAGAAAAAGCTTTTAGTATCTTTGCCCAAAAGCAAATGGAGCCCTTTAAAGTCTACAAAACACCTTCCCCCGGAACATTCAGACCTAGTCATCGTTGGGGGAGGAGTGATGGCCTGGTCAATTGCCTTCTGGCTAAAGCTGTTGCAGGATCAAACCAGCACCTACAGCATCGTGGTGGTAGAGAGGGACCCTACGGTATATGTGATATGCTGTTCTCCCACATCTTTCTATATCTTTAACTATACATATATATAAAATAATCTGATTTTTTTTTTCCAAGATAAAAAAAAAATGTGTATCCATAGTCAGACCTTTTTGTTGTTTTCTACTTTTAGATCTGGCGGGGGAAGATTAGATTCCGATGTCAGGTTTTTACTGCTATCCAAGGTACTATTAAGGAGATTTCCCTTTAGTAGAATAGGATAAGGCTGACATTTTTATTTTTGATTGAACCACAAATTAAACTGCCACACTGTGGTATTCAGATCCAGATACAAGTTTTATTCCAAAGACAGATCTTTTTTAAAGCCAACCTGTTTCAGGGGCTTAAACTCCCCATTTTCATCAGGGCTTCACAGTGAAACTATGTATATGCATCTGGTTTTAGCAGCATTTTGAGGTATTTTACATGGTTTCACTGTGTTGTTTTTAGGCCATGGTAGTCTTAGGCCACTTGCACTTGTGACTGTCTAGCAGCAGTGTCCCGTGTTTTAGTGTGCCCAGAAGGGACAGTTGCAGCTCCCAGCCCTGCTGCAGGCACACTGTCCATAGCAGATTGTGGCTGGGTGGGGCTGAACGGCCTTGGATTTTGGCACGCTGCCTGATTCAGGGCTGCACACTGCATCTCTGTCCCTCCCAAGTGTACTAAAACACTGGGAGGCATGCACTGCTCCTAGACAGCTCTGTGTGCAGGGGCCTAAAGAACACAGTTTTACCATGATAGGCCCTGATGAAGGAGGCACAGTTGCAGCCTCTGAAATGGGTTGGCTTTATGAAAGATCTGTTTTTGGAATAAACTTGTATTAGGACTTGAATACCATGGTGTGGCGCTTCAGTTCCAGATTCAATCCATCCCTATTACAACCCACTCTGTTTTTGGAAATTATTTAGTGTGCAGAAGCTGCCTGCCCAGTATTCAAATTCTCTGTATCTACACTGCCACTATTTTTTTTTTTTATGAAAAATATAAAATAAAGACGAAAAAATGAACTTGATTACAGCACCTATTTTATATACTTCCTTAAAATTTTTATATCTATCCATGTCCCTGTTGTATATTTTTCTCACTTCCTTTCTGTTGAAACCGTTTTAAGTAGAACAGGATATGGGAGGAAATCTCTCTAATGAAACCCTAGAAAACAGTAAAAACATGACAGGCGTTCCTAAGGCCCATGTCAGGCATGCACTCCTGTCAGCGGTGATGGCTCACCACTATGAAATCAGTAATAGAATATATAAAAAAGACTTCCTGCACTCAGAATGAGGCCCTATCCCTATAGCTGCTGACACCTCCTACCAATGTGAGTAAAATACAATAAATAAATAGTGCAGCGCTAAACCATAAATCTAAAATAAATATAAATAAATACAAAATTAATATATATCATATAAAAGTGCAGCCGTGCAAATACAGTATAAATTCAATAAAGTGCAACACGTGTATTCCCCTCGGGAATAATCAAAGTGACCAAGTGATCAAGACTTAGAAATAAAACCTCATGTTTACAATAAGTGGAGATTCATATTAGAGTGCATTATAATAGATTGTTTGCTGTGATCACTTGGCCACTTTGATTATTCCCGCTGGGAATACACGCATTACACTTTATTGAACTGAGGTTTTATTTCTAAGTCTTGATCACTTGGTCACTTTGAATATTCCCGAGCGGAATACACGCATTGCACTTTATTGAATTTATACTGTATTTGCACGGCTGCACTTTTATATGATATATATTAATTTTGTATTCATTTTATATATATATTTATTTTAGATTTATGGTTTAGCGCTGCACTATTTATTTATTGTATTTCACCACTACGAGAGCTCATCACCATGGATGAGTGAGGTGTAACGCTCTCATTTTGGTGACTTACATTATGAAGCATTTTCATCAGGGAAGACGGGACGCCTTGCTGAATCAACATGTGAGGGAGCACCATGTACAAGCAGGTTAGCGTTTTCCTGACACGTTAGCAGCCCCGTTACTGGCTCACAAATAGGACTCATGGGCTTTAAACAAAAAGAAACAAAAAAAGTGTTGGCTTGGCATACGCTTTATTTATTCATTTTTAACTATTTTTATATCATTCTTTAGTACTCTCAGGCATCCACAGTCCTGTCAGTGGGTGGCATTCGACAGCAGTTCTCCCGGCCAGAAAACATCCAGATGTCCCTCTTTGGTGCTCATTTTCTGTTGAAGATTAATGTAAGTCTTTTTAAGGAACATTTTAGTACGAGTATGATTAGCTCATTACCTTATTGGCTTCCTATATATTTGATCTTGTATAACTTTCTAAATTTGTACTGAGCTACCTTTTGTGTGTTCCTGCTCTTTTTACATTGTCATTATTACAAAAACCCAGCAGGGATGGTGTGAACCCATCATAATGGACTCAGCAGGTATACAGACCAGGAACACAGCAAAGGGGTTTCAAACATTCTCTGCTCCATTTTTTGAAAAAAAAAGCACTTTTTGGCTTTTATATATACTTTAAATTGTAGTATGTTACTGAATTATTTAGGTGTTTTTCATGTTACAACTGTTGTCGGGTAAGAAATGGGTTTGGGGATACAGTTTTCAATGCTGAAATCCCATTGACATCTATGGTCATGTCTTGTATTTGCATAAGTGCAGCCATGGCTGATGAGGCTGCAATTCGACTTTTTCAACATTGTTTACACTGCACATCAACAAACGATCTATACGCTGTACAAAGAATCTGACGCACTGTTCTATGTTTTAGGAATATCTTGGCATGGTCAATGAAGACCCCATTGACATTCAGTTCAACCCATCTGGATACCTGTTCCTGTCCAGCGAGAAAGGCGCAGAAATCTTAGAGAAAAATTACAAAACTCAGCGGTATGGGTGTAGGAGGGTGATGCTGCCTGACCATCATTCATATCTATTTGGGCACAGTAACTCCATTTGATGCAAATCTATGTGTTCAGTCCGTTTATCAGTAAGGCCTTGCATGCTACAGCATACACCTGTGCGCGGGTTGTGCTTGCCTTCATGGGAATGTACACATGCTCCATGCATCCCTGTGCAGGCAGTCCCCTTCATGTCAGATGGGACACAGTGGCTGCATTGACACAGCCGCAGCTCGCAGTTTGACAGCCTTGCAAGCGCATGGGTCCAAATAGAGACAGTGTAGGTTCGAGGCTATGAACCCGCATGGCTGTCCAATTGGGAGCAGTGAATGTGTCCATGCAGCTGCTGTGCTTCAATTGACATGAATGGGACTGCCTGCACGGGGATGCAGGGGATACCTGTGCATCCCTCTGTAGGTAAACACGGTGCTGGCACAGGTGTACGCTGTAGTATGCCAGTGTGAACGTAACCCAACGTAACCCAACTACTTTCATTGATCAAACAGAACTAGTATAGGTTCTCAACTAAATATAGAAATATTGCACTTGATATCTGGTTTTTACATCTCGGTCATAATCACATTCTTTCCAGAGACACGGGAAAATCTCAAAATAGCTCCTCAAGTCATGTTCAGGGGACACAGAGGACAGTCCTTAGACAACTCCTCAAGTCACCAGAGTTTATATCCACAACTGTCAGTCTTGTTTATTTATTTCATCCCTATTCTACATGATACCTACACAAACCCTCATTAGTCCTCTCCTCATTGATAGCTTTATGGATTTATAAATGATGAAATAAAATGATCTCTAGATGCTTAAGTGAAGTAAATTATGGAAGACTTTTACTAATATATAAGTCATTTTAAAGACCCAACTTTTGCAGTATGAACCATTAGTTGCTCAAATCTCTGTCAATCATCTATTACATCCAGTCTCAAATCCAGGACATCGATCACAGATCATTTCTCTCTCTCGCTGTCTGTCAATCATATTTTCCATTAACAATCCAGCATTATAGAATGCCTCCTCTTCTGTCCTTTAGTGGGAATACTACAGTGTGCCCAAGGGAGCACAGCCAGACTAGCCATGCCCCCCATGGGCAGGCAACCTTAAGGACTCTTGTGTACTAAGTTGTACAATTGTTGTTTCTTTCTGTGCATGATGGCATATATCATTGCCTTCTACTAGAACACTCCGCAATCTGACAGCTGTCCGATTCTAACTGTCTCAGTTCCTCATTCTCCAACCACTATCCCCCCAGGTTGGGAGAATTTTACCCCATCAGTAAAGACCGACTACCTGTCACTGAGGTTCCCTGTATGGGGATAACTTGGGACTAAGAGGAACCCCTAACATAATTACTTCCCAGATGTCACTAACATTTTTCAAATTTACAACACCTTGTGCTGAGTATTGGTTAATAAGCAGTATAACCTTGACAGCTATCAGTGGACACTGTGTGGCTACTCACTGCCAAACCACACCATCATTGACTGCTTAGGTTCCCATTACCTATTGGAAACCAGTCATGTGATTATTATGTCAATTGTATAAGAAGTATAAACATTTTGTTACATGCTGGAGTTTCTAATCGGTTTCAGGATGCACAGAATTCTATTTTCTCTAAATGCAGCAAAATTGACTGCTTTATTATATGCATTATAAAAGAAAAACATATATACTGTGTGTGTTATAGATAGATATAGAGATATATATATATATATATATATATATATATATATATATATATAGATCTAGATAGATAGATAGATAGAGATATATATTATACACGCACCAATGCACCTCTGTAGGGTGTGGTCCCTAACTCAAAACAATGAAATTGAAGTCCCCAGCTTTGTATAAGCCCCCCCACGTGTATAAGCAGTGCACAAACTAAAAGCAGACTCACCTGAAGGCAGCCCTTCCCTCCTTAGAGCTTCATTTTAGGTGTGGTAATTTTTACATATTTACATTATTCCAGGTTCCCTGCTTCATAGTGAACACAGTTGCTTGCTTGGAATGGGTATCATCCAGGGAATACTTTGCATTTTTCACAATGAATACAAAGCATTCTGTGTCTGAATGTGGTGATCATGCTGCCACTCCTCGTCCAATCAGAGAACACTTTGCATTCATTGAGAAAATGCAAAGTGTTCTCTGAATGGCCCCATGCTGAATGGATGACCTGGATTCAGTAAGTAGAAGTTCAGCCATTCAGCGTGGGACCAAGAAAGTAGTCAGACTCACTGTAGCAGCATTGCCTACAACAGTGATGTTCAGCTTCCAGGGGGTGCCCACAGGTATGGCATATACATACTTACATTGGTTGAAGCTGGAGTGTGTAGTGTGACTGTGTATCCAGTGTAACTACATAAATACCTGGAACCTAGATCTTACCTGGAATTCAGCTTTGAAGGTACAGAAGCCCAGACATCACCTTTTCAAGGTAGCTGAATATTTGAAATGTGTGTCTGTGACCAAAAAAAACAAACTATGTAGAATTTGGTCCCTAACTCAGACCTATCCAAGTCTCCATAGTTGGTGACTCAGATTGTTTGCCATTAGGGCCAAACTGTACAGGGGTTCCTTTCCATGGCTGTGTGGCTTCAAGTAGTCGAGATAGTTTAGTTAGTTAGGGCTTTTTTGCTAGCTACCTTGAAAGCTTAATGCTTTGTATTGTATTGCTTTGTATTTTTCCCTGCCATTGCACGCACTTGCTGTGCATTCTAATCTCCACATTGCTTCACTGTGTTGTATGTGTTCTATATTTGATATCACTAATCACCAAAGTATGATCATATTAATACATTGAGGATATTCATAATACTGGGAATTAAAACCATAGAATTTTACCTCATTGAACACATTTTATTAACAGTTTCATAACTTGATCTGATTCTGAACAGTATGCACCCCTTTTTATTTTGATGTGTGTGTTTTTTGTTTTTTTTGTCACCAAAGGGAACATGGAGCCATAGGGATCCTGTATTCTCCAGAGCAGCTGAAGAAGAAGTTTCCATGGATTAATACTCAGGATGTGGTTCTGGCTTCCTACGGTGAGATATGTTGGGTCATACACCATTGCACACAAAGTTTCTTTCTACTCTTAATTGGGTTGAAAGACTTTACAGCATGCTGGTGATGTACACAAATGATAAAGCAAGCATCATGCATCTGAGTGTCTCTTAAACCTTATGCTACCTATTTATTAGTAGCGATGCCCAGATCACTCACACTACAATATGACATGGGTGGCTGAGCTTTGGCTGAGCTTTCACATTTTCCTCAGTTGTCAGACTTGTCCGTGGGATGTACCGTAAATATATAATAACAATAATATGGTGACTGTAGTGGGGACATTAGCGTGTAAGCTCCTCTAGTGCAAAAACTGCTGTGACTGGCTCTTAGTTCTCTGTACAGCACTACAGAATATGTTAGAGATCTATAAATGTATGATGATAGTGTGTGACTGTGGTGGAACATTTATATTGTAAGTTCTTCTGGTTCAGGGACTGGGGTTACTGGCTCATTTTTCCCTGTACAGTACATGTCATAGCTATATAATTGTATAATATTATTAGTATGTGACTGTGGGGGGACAATAGAGTGTGAGCTCCTCTACTGCATAGTCTGATGTGACTGGCTCAGTGCTCTCTGTACAGTACATGTCATAGCTATATAAATGTATAATATTATTAGTATGTGACTGTGGGGGGACAATAGAGTGTGAGCTCCTCTATTGCATAGTCTGATGTGACTGGCTCAGTGTTCTCTGTACAGCACTGAGGAATATGTCAGAGCTATATAAATGTCTGCTGTATGTGATGGTGAAGGACCAATAGAAGTGAATCTTGGTTCTGAGGGATATACAGAGGAGCATGTCTTCTTTCAAAGGAGCTGATCCATAATGATATAATACATGTGCACCTTATTATGGTTCTAGACTGCTACCTCTCTCTAATTGAGACAAAAAGGGCGCTCAGCAGATGATAAACTCTGCAGTGGGCATTGAGATGAGTGCCTTGTACAAAAGTTCATATCACTCAGTGTTTTTTTGTTGTTTTTTTTTGACGAGTATTATTATTATACAGTATTTATATAGCGCCGAAGGGAGTGCTCAGTGCTGTACATTAGCGAGGGGGACAGAACATGAGACAATACAGTACAATACAATACACGAGGGGATCGAGGGTGCTGCTCTTTCGAGCTTACAATCTAGGAGGGAGGGGATAGTAGTACAGGAGGAAGTGGCTGTGGGGGATGGAGTGGTAAGAGGAGTGGAGGAGATCGGTTGTTAGGTGAGGGTGGGGTAGGCTTCCCTGAAGAGATGGGTTTTTAGGGTGCGCCTGAAGGAGGGGAGGGTAGGTGACAGTCTGATGGATTGGGGTAGGGAGTTACAGAAGATGGGGGAAGTCCTGAGAAGTCCTGCAGTCGGCGTGGTGGGAGGAGGAGACCAGGGAGCTGGAGAGTAGGAGGTCCTGTGAGGAGCGAAGGGCACGGATAGGGTAGTATTTGGGTATCAGGTCAGTTAGGTAGTTTGGGGCGGCGTTGTGAATGACTTTGTATGTCACAGTTAGTCATTTGAATTTAATGCGTTGGGCAATCGGGAGTCAGTGAAGGGATTGGCAGAGGGGGTGGCAGATGTGGAGCGGTTTGTGAGGTGGATGAGTCTAGCCGCTGAGTTCAGGATAGACTGGAGTGGGGATAGCGTTTGTTTGGGTAGGCCAGTGAGAAGGGAGTTGCAGTAGTCCAGGCGTGAGATGATGAGGGAGTGTACAAGTTGTTTAGTGGTGTCTGGGGTGAGGAACGTGCGTATCTTGGAGATGTTGCGGAGGTGGAGCCTGCATGACTTTGATAGTGATTGGACATGAGGTTGGAAGGAAAGGTTTGAGTCCAGGGTGACACCCAGGACTTTGGCGTGTGGGGTGGGATTGATGGTGGCGTTGCTAGTCGTGATGGAGAGGATGGGGGGGGGGGGGGCACGGGCTGGGGGGGAAAACCAGGAGCTCGGTTTTGGACAGGTTTAACTTGAGGAAATGGAGCGATATCCAGTCTGATATGTCGTTCAGGAGGTGGGCGATGCGGGCGGAGAGAGAGGGGGTGAGGTGGGGGGTGGAGAGGTAAATTTTTGTGTGTCGTCGGCATAGAGGTAATAGTTGAAGCCGTGGGAGTGTATCAGTTTGCCAAGGGAGGAGGTGTAGATGGAGAAATGAGTATGAGCCTTTATTGATCAAGCCCTAAGAAAGGGAAAGGCCTTCCCCCTTATTGTGTAGGCTGTATTTGTTTAAAAAAACTTTGGAGCAATATGAGTGTAACAGACATGTAAAATTGATTGTACCGGACATGTAGGACTTGAGTGGAAATATGGAATCATAGCCATGACAGGTTGAGTAGATTAGATTATGTCAGGCCCTTTCATTGCAAAGGTGTGTGCAGGAACAGTCTTGTAATTAAGGATGTACACTGAGCCCCTGGGCAGTAGGGAAATGAATAGAAGGTACAAACAAATGGTCTGGGATCAGATGTGTATGTATACACAATTACTCCATAGGCCTTACAGACCCAATCATCATTTAGCATTAATTAGTCTAAAGCCAGGTTCCTGGAGGTGACACCTTTTGTGTGTCAATCAAGTTATCACCTTCTGGGAAAACCAGTGACAGCAGACAGACTGTCTGCCTTATGTGGAAAGCTCTATAGGTAATATTCACATAAAAGGAGTATGTTTAATCTCTTATAAAAGATGAAATATTAGTTGCAGAGATATGAACATGCTTCCTTTGTGCAGGCCATTCTGTGCGCTACATTTGCATATAAGAATCATATTTGTGGCTTGGGGAGGAAGCCAAGGAAATGCATGGAATGGTTAGATGACGCGGGGGTGCGACAGTCGGATGGTGTTTGGTACTGTTGCGATCGGGCTGATGTGCTGGTGTCAGAAATCCAATCCCCGACTTGGTGTTCAGGCCAGTCTCGGCCCAATTGAACTTGGGCAGGTCCATACACAGTACCTCTTGTGGGCAGGTCAGGACCACCTCCCCCAGAGTCAATTGGCCGAAGACTAATGTCCCGCCCATGTCCAAATCGCAATAAATTGAACACACGTACATTTGGACAGGGTGATCCGTACGGAGCTGGTTCAATTGACCAATGGATTGCTGATTTTCTGGCTTGCTCCAGCCGCAGGGTAAAGTGTTATTCTGTCTTTTTATTCCCTTTTTATTTTATAGTAATTAGTCATTTGTGTGTCTTCTTATATCTTTTGTATTTTTGTAACTTTTTATCTTTTGTACATATTTATGCACTGCCCACTTTGGGAAATTAAATCTTAAAATTAATTAGTGAACTTCTGTGTATTTAAGCACGGCTCATATCTTCGGAGAGACTAGATCGGAGAGACTAGATCGGAGAGATTAGATTGGGTTATATTGTATTGTATTTTAGTGCCTTTAAAATGCTCGGTTAAGCTCATTGCCAATCTGTATGCAACTGCACTATGAGTGGGCAGATTGCACGCAGATTGTAAAGGTAACAGATCTGCCAGACGGAGATCTGTGTGTGTGTGGTGTCCCAACAGACCGTTCTGCGGATAAACTGTTGGCTGCTCTTATATACGGTTTGAGATATTTAAGTGTAAATCCCTTTATTATTCCCCTTCTTTACCACCCTGTCGCAGCCACACGCGTGCGTCACGGTTAGCTAGTCGCTGTGGGCGTGGCGTGTGGTGGACACGTGACAGGGTGATCGTTTAACGAATCCTTGACAATGAGCTTTTGTTCTATGAGTTTCTCAATACTCACTCACCCCAGAGCTATATATATGTATAATAATAGTAATGCTCTTACATATGGGGTTAATTTACTAAAACTGGAGAGTGCAAAATCTGGTGCAGCTGTGCATGGTAGCCAATCATCTTCTAACTTCAGCTTGTTCAAGTAACCTTGAACAATTAAACCTGCAAGCTGGTTTCTTTGCAGAGCTGCACCAAATTTTGAACTCTCCAGTTTTAGTGGAACTTAGATTTATTACTAAACATTTACACTAAAAAAATGTATAATGCTAATAGTGCGTGACTGTAGTGTGGTGTAAGCTCCTCTGTTGCCTGGCTCAATGTTTTCTGTACATCACTGTAGAATATATCATAGTTATATAAAAGTATAACAAAACTAACAAACATTTTTCACTGTGGTGAGACAATAGAGTGTCATGGACAGTTGTGAGGTGGGGGGGATTTGAAGGGGCGAGCCTGGAGTTGAGCTTTAAATGGTAGTTTCACTTTAATCCGATTCTCTTTGCATTCAATCAGGTCTAGAGAATGAGGGCTGGTTTGACCCGTGGACATTCCTCACTGCCCTCAAACGAAAGGCAATTTCTATGGGGGTGGAATTTTGCCAGGGAGAGGTGACAGGTAAGTGACACAAGTGAGTCCAGAATCTGTACAGAATATGGCCATTGTCAGAAGAGTCCAGTGAAAATTCTTCTTGGCAGGTTTTGATACTGTGACACAGGACATGGTGACAGAATCGGGAGACCTTGTAACCTTCACGACCATCAAAAATGCCATCGTAAGTCTGAAAGTCTTTGTCTGAACACTCATCACAGCTCTGACGATGTCTGTTAAGCCACCTTCTGCTTTACCCCAAGAGACATTTTTAAGTGTATGTAAAGTCCAAACCTTTTCCTAGTTTTAGAACGAGTATGGAAGAGTTAGGCTACTTGTAAGGTTGTTGTTGCTCAAAAGATTAAAAAAAAAAAAAAAAAAAAAAAAAAAGAGCACCATGCCAATGATCAAAAATCAGTTCATATTTAGATCAACCTAAATAGCCAACATGTTTCTGTGGCTTTGACTCTCCCCTTTCCTGAGGGCTACAACAACAAAAACAAAATCAAAACAAAGTTCCTATACCTGTAGTTGCTGGATGGCGATCACAAACCTGATATCTGAAGTTTAAACTTGACGTTTTCATTACATATCTTATTTTAGAGTAATGTCAATACTGGGTCTCCACGCTTGCCTATGCCATGCTAGTAGGAGGGCTGGCAGATTGCTGTATAAACATCACAGCAACCGGCCTCAGTACTCCTCTCAGTCCTGATGTAAGTAGTGGGCTGGTTCTTTGGAGGAGTTATGCGAATATCAAAATGCCTTGATAGTTGGATATCAGTCTGGAGAAGTGGACATTCCTCGGCTGGACTACATTTGCATTCAGTCCACCCTAGGTAATGTCCACATGTGATGCTGGTTGAAAGAGCTGAAATCCAGTAAATGAAAGGGGCAGGACAGGGACAGTCAGGTTGTGGAGGAAAGTGCTAGATGATGCTGAGCGATTTCCAACCAGAAAGTGAGGCAGGCTCTGTCTGACTTGCTGCAGAATTTAATGTACGTTGTGAGAAGCTACTAGTGAAATCGGAGTAAGCAATTCCAGGACAGGAGTGTAGCCGGTACAACTGAGCAAAACTGAAGGGAAGCCTGGAGTTCAGCATTAAAAGGTAAAGTTGCCAAGTCTAGCAAGTTTAAGATTTGAATGCTATCTTTGTATGAGCAGGTGTTGAGCGACCCCCGTGACCAGGGGCGTATTTACACCAAGGCAAACTAGGCCTTTGCCTAGGGCGGCACTTTTCAGGGGGGCCGCACGGCGGCAGTGCCGCCCCCCCCTTTCCCACGGAAGGGACAATTTCATAGGAAAGTGACAGGGGCAGGACCACCATGGCTGTTGGACCGGTGTAGCAGCAAGATCTGTCCCCCCATGAAGATCTGTCCCCCTGACGCATCTGCGCATGTCACCGGCTGCAGAGGAGAGCGGAGTGGTGGGCGGATCCCTGGTGTGCGTTCGGAACGCATGAGGGGCCAGGCCCCCTGTAAGTGCCGGGATGTGCAGGAAGGCCAGAAGGAGGAAACAGAAGAGGACGAGGTCAGGGGGGCGGAGCCCCCCTGCTCCTTTGCAGCCGCCGCTGCCGGAGATACTGGGGGAGAAGGGACACAGGCGCCTGGTGATCCTGACACCATCTGGAGGAGCCGCTGCTGGACAGGTAAGTGTTTGGAGGACTGGTGCTCCCTCTGTCCTGTCTCACTGTCCCCTGATACACTGCCCCCCATCCATCACACTGCCCCCTGCCCCCACATGTCACCCTGCCCCACACCTGTTCCACTTCCCCCTCCTGTCCCCCACATTGTCCCACTACCACCCATCTGTCTTCACTGCCCCCCACCTGTCCCTCTGCCCTTCACCTGTCCCTTTGCGCTCCTCATGTCCCACTGCCCCGATCTTGTCCCTCTGTGCTCCTCCTGTCCTGCTGCCCTGATCCTGTCCCATGCCCCCGTCATGATGCCCCCCATCTGTCCCCTCTGCGCTCCTCCTGTCCCACTGCCCCTCACCTGCCCCGCTGCCCGATCCTGTCCCATGCCCCCCCCCGTCACGCTGCCCCCCATCTGTCCCTCTACGCTCCTCCTGTCCCACTGCCCCTCACCTGTCCCTCTGTGCTCCTCCTGTTCCTCTGCCCCTCACCTGTCTCTTTGCGCTCCTCATGTCCCACTGCCCCGATCCTGTCCCTCTGCGCTCCTCCTGTCCTGCTGCCCTGATCCTGTCCCATGCCCCCCCGGTATGCTGCCCCCCATCTGTCCCTCTGCGCTCCTCCTGTCTCACTGCACTACCCCTGTCCCGCTGCCCCGATCCTGTCCCATGCCCCCCCCCCCGTTATGCTGCCCCCCATCTGTCCCTCTGCGCTCCTCCTGTCCCACTGCCCCTCACCTGTCCCTCTGCGCTCCTCCTGTCCCACTGCCCCTCACCTGTCCCCTCTGCGCTCCTGTCCCACTGCCCCTCACCTGTCCCTCTGTGCTCCTCCTGTCCCACTGCCCCTCACCTGTCCCTTTGCGCTCCTCATGTCCCACTCATGATCCTGTCCTCATGATCCTGTCCCTCTGTGCTCCTCCTGTCCCGCTGCCCCGATCCTGTTCCATGACCCCTGTCACGCTGCCCCCCGCCTGTCCCTCTGCGCTCCTCCTGTCCCACTTCCCCTCACCTATCCTTGTGCGCTTCTCCTGTCCCCGCTGCCCCGTTCCTGTCCCATGCCCCCGTCACGCTGCCCCCTACCTGTCCCTCTGAGTGCCTCCTGTCCCACTGCCCCTTACCTGTCCCTCTGCGCTCCTCCTTTCCCACTGTCCCTCACTTGTCCCAAGTGGGCCTCCGGGCCTCCCACTGACACCAATGATGGGGCACTATTCCTCCCACTGACACCAATGATGGGGCACTATTCCTCCCACTGACACCAATGATGGGGCACTATTCCTCCCACTGACACCAATGATGGGGCACTATTCCTCCCACTGACACCAATGATGGGACACTATTCCTCCCACTGACACCAATGATGGGACACTATTCCTCCCACTGACACCAATGATGGGGCACTATTCCTCCCACTGATACCAATGATGGGACACTATTCCTCCCACTGATACCAATGATGGGACACTATTCCTCCCACTGATACCAATGATGGGACACTATTCCTCCCACTGATACCAATGATGGGACACTATTCCTCTCACTGATACCAATTTATTATTATACAGTATTTATAAAGTGCCAATAGTTCGCTCAGCGCTGTAGATTACAAAGGGGGACAGAACATGTGACAGAACAATACCAATACAATGCAAAACATGAGGGGATGGAGGGCCCTGCTCTTTCGAGCTTACAATCTAGGAGGGGGCACTATTCATTCCACTGACACCAATGATGGGGCACTATTCATTCCACTGACACCAATGATGGGGCACTATTCCTCCCACTGATACCAATGATGGGACACTATTCCTCTCACTGATACCAATTTATTATTATACAGTATTTATAAAGTGCCAATAGTTCGCTCAGCGCTGTAGATTACAAAGGGGGACAGAACATGTGACAGAACAATACCAATACAATGCAAAACATGAGGGGATGGAGGGCCCTGCTCTTTCGAGCTTACAATCTAGGAGGGGGCACTATTCATTCCACTGACACCAATGATGGGGCACTATTCATTCCACTGACACCAATGATGGGGCACTATTCCTCCCACTGATACCAATGATGGGGCTCCATTCTTCCCACTGATACCAATGATGGGGCACTATTCTGCACACACTGACACTAATGATGGGACACCATCATTGGTGTCAGTGGAGAAATAGTGCCCCATCATTGGTGTCAGTGGGAGGAATAGTGCCCCATCATTGGTATCAGTGGGAGGAATAGTGCCCCATCATTGGTGTCAGTGGGAGGAATAGTGCCCCATCATTGGTGTCAGTGGGAGGAATAGTGCCCCATCATTGGTATCAGTGAGAGGAATAGTGCCCCATCATTGGTGTCAGTGGGAGGAATAGTGCCCCACTGACACCATAGTGTTTTTTGAAATCCACGCTGTTCTCCCCCTTTTTTTTGCATGGCTTCTGGGAAGAATCACAGCACTTCTGATTGATTCAGAAAGAAAGTGGAGAACAGGGATTTCAAATTCCTGGGCCACTACACCAGCTGCGTGGGCACTGATAGCTCATCACCCACAGAGGTAAGTACAGTGGGCACTGGAAGGAGGTTGTAGGGTGTTAGTTCATTCTTTTCATACTGAGTCCAATATGTCATCCAACTTAGGTCTCTCATGATTACTGCTAAAGACTTAAAAATGTGGACAAAGACATAACAAATATCTGATTCCAGGTATCGATGTCACACAGTCTGGAGAATCAACCGGTGGAATGCTCTGCGGTCATTAATGCTGCTGGTGCCTGGTCTGCAAAGGTGGCAGAGATGGCAGGAGTGGGCCTGGGTAATCCCAACACAATATACGGAACAAAACTTCCTGTAGAGCCCAGAAAGAGGTGAAGGTTTTTGCTGGGGTTGCCCTTTAATCATTCCTTGTTTCACGTCCACACAAATGATACTGCAAAACAAGAACTGGGGCATAATGAGTTCGGTGAGGCAGGAGAGAGCAGCACAAACTCCTGTACTTTCTGGCCAGTGAACATGGCATTCCTGGGGGCAGCCACATGTCAGAAGGCTAGGCTTTCTTGGCTTTATAGGAACAGGGACTGCTATAGGTGGCTTGACATTAAGCTATATTCCCTGACCAATCCTATAGAGGCAATCATTATAGTACACTGGCTTTGGTACAACAATTAGTTGATTTTAGTAATACACAAGATACAATGTCTGGTGCATAGTCATTCCAAACATTAAAGTCTCACACATGCGATGACGCCATACTTGGAATTACAACCCAAAACACATTATGCTACTTCTCAGGGCTGTATGTGAGAAACATCTTAATAAACTGACAACTTTGTTTAAAAGAAAAAAAATAATAATTTTCCTTCCACATTTTCCAAAAACTTGTGGCAAAAAAATGAAGTCATCAAAAGACCCACAATGCCTCTTAGAGAATACCTCGGGGTTTTTGCTTTCCAAAATGTAGTTATTTTGTGGGTGTTTCCATTGTCCTGGCACGCCAAGGCCTCCAAAAATGTGATAGGTAGTCAGGAAATTGGGTGAATAATTTATGCCCCTAGAAATCCTGAAAGATTTTGGGCTCCTCTATGGCTGTGGAAAATTCTCACATGTGGTAACCCCATACTCAGGAGCAGTAGTAGAATGCGTTTTGGGTGTAATTTTAAGTATGCCTATGATATGTGTTAGAGGCTAATTGACAACTTTGTGTAAAAAAAGAACTTGTAGCAAAAAATGACATTTTCAAAAGACACATTATACCTCGTAGAAAATACATTGGAGTGTTTGCTTTCCAGAATGGGGTCATTTTGTCAGTGTTTCCACTGTTCTTGTGCTCTGGGACCTACAATGTGATAGGTAGTCAGGGAACTAGATACCTAATGTGTAATTTATGCTCGTTGAAAGCCTATAGGTGCTGCTTGGAGTTTGGGCCCCTCTATGTATCTAGGCTATGAAAACATCTCATGCATGTGGTATCCTCATACTTGTGAGGAATCGCAAAATTTGTTTTCAGGTATAATTATAAGTAAGCTTCTGGTGTGTGTGAGACCTAACCTTAAAATGACAACTTTGTGAGAAAAACACATTTTATTTGGTTTCATTTTCCCCAAAATTATGGTGTGTGTGTTCATTCTAGAGTCCAGTGGCAGCGTGCTTTACACCACTGCATCCGACACTTTGCATTGCACTTGGTGATGTAAGGCTTGGATGCAGCTGCTCGGCCATGGAAACCCATTCCATGAAGCTCTCTATGCACTGTTGTTGTGCTAATCTGAAGGCCACACCAAGTTTTAGAGGTCTTTACCTATTGACTCTGCAGACAGTTGGCGACTTCTGTGCGCTTCAGCATGCGCTGACCCCGATTTGTCATTTTACGTGGTCTACCACTTTGTGGCTGAGTTGCTGTTGTTCCCAGTTACTTCCACTTTGTTATAAATATCACTAACAGTTGACTGTTTAATATTTAGTAGCCAGGAAATGTCACGGATGGATTTATTGCACAGGTGGCAACCTATCACGGGACCCACGCTTGGAGTCACTGAGTTTCCTGAGAGCGACCCATTCTTTCACAAATGTTTGTAGAAGCAGTCTGCATGCCTAGGTGATTGATTGTATACACCTGTGGCCATGGAGGTGATTGAAGCACCTGAATCCAATGATTTGGAGGGCTGGCCCAATACTTTTGGCAATATAGTGTATCTATCTATCACATACCAGAGTTAGTAGACTATAACTTTCACACAGACAGTAAGAAATATGTCATTTTGGTACAGTGTTGCATGACTAAGTAATTGTCATCCAAAGTGTGACAGCGCTGAAAACTGGTCTGAGCAGGAAGGGGGTGGAAGTGTCCTGTATTGTTGTGGTTATTAACCTTTAGCAGCACATATCTTTCTTTTGCCCGCCATCCCATTCATCTGCCCAGGGGTGAGAAAAGGCACCCTGTCAAGACTTAGAAGTTGTATAGGGCTGTAGATGCTCTCCCTGCTCCAGCCTGACAGACTTGGACCAGTCAACAAGCACCAGCACGGTCACATGAAAGGAAGGGGACTGTGTTACATGTTCTCCACAGGCAGAAGTACCTGGTATGGCTGGGGGGTGAAGAGGTGAAGAAAAAGTGATTTTGTGCAGCTAAGGAAAAGGGAAATGAAAGTGAACCTGTTGTACTGTCCAGCATTGAAACACACAGATTTGTTTAAAAGAAAATCTAGCATAACAAAACATGGTATTTGCCATTACTGAACTCTCCAATTCCAAATGCTGGTTGCCTGGCTCTCATGTTTAATCTCCAGCCTCAATAATATGAACCTATGGCCTGGGACAAGTGTCCAAATAGCACTTAGAACATTCCTGAACTGTGTTTTGGGTCAGGTATTCAAAGTATTGAAGTAAAAGGGTCAGCATGAATCCAAAGGGGCATATTTTCTGGAGCCAATAAAGGGCAACCCCCAGAATGGATTTTTATAGCCTTTACCAGTGTAGAAAACCTTTAATGGGAATAGTATTTATTTTTTTTCTAGATATGTCTATATGTTTAATAGCCCCAATGGCCCTGGGATTGACTGTCCGATGCTGATTGACATCTCTGGAGCATATTTTCGAAGAGAAGGGTTTGGGGGCAACTACATCGGAGGTCTCTCACCATCAGAGGTGAGCAGCTACAAACTGTATATTGGGAGTTAACGTATGTCGACGTAAGTATATTGACAGCTGAAAACACAAGGAGCTTTCTGAGCTGCAAAAATATTTGTAAGTCTGATTTGGCCAGTCTTGTGATTTAAACGGCCCCACCACACTGAAGACTAATGAACTGAAAGCATGCATCTATGCCTCTGCTCCACCTTCAGTTCCTGTTGTCTGAAATGTGTTCTATTCCTTCTTCATGCTCTTCCATTCCTGGAGGGCCACACCAGTAATTAGTATGTGCTTTTATATACCTGTATATGAAAATATATATATATATATATATATATATAAATATATATATATATATATATATATATATATATATGCAAAAGTTTTAGGCAGGTGTGAAAACAATACTGTAAATTAAGAGTGCTTTCAAAATTAGAAGTGCTAATAGTTTATTTTTATCAAATGACAAAATGGAGAGTAAATAGAAGAGAAATCCAAATCAATAATTGGTGTGACCACCCTTTGCTTTCAAACCTGCATGAATTTTTCTAGGCACACTTGCAAACAGTTTTGAAGACACTCAGCTGGTAGGTTGTTGCAGATATCTTGGAGAACTAACCATAGACCTTCCTTGGATGTAGGCTGTCTCTTTTAGTGTAATCCCATACAGACTCCATGATGATCAGGGCTCTATGGGAACCAAACCATCACTTTCAGGACACCTTGTTCTTCATTACGCTGAGGATAGTTCTTAATGACATTGGCTGTATGTTTGGGGTTGTTGTCCTGCCGCAGATTACATTTAGGGCCAATTACACTCCTCCCTAAAGGCATGGCTTGATGGCTATGTATCTGCCTGTATTTCTCAGCATTGAAGACACCATGGATCCTGACCACATGTCCAACTTCGTTTGCAGAAATGCAGCCCCAAACATGCAAGGATCCTCTACCATGCTTCATTCTTGCGTGCAGGCACTCGTTTTGGTATCACTCAACCTACATATGAAATTGATGTTCATTACCACCTTCTTGGTATAATTTATGAATCATACCCCTGACTCTAATCCTACAAAATCCCTGACTTTATGCAAGTGTAAGAATTGATGCTGGTTTGAAGCCAAAGGGTACTCGCACCAAATATTTAGACTTTTCTTCTGTTCGCTTACTTTGCATTTTATAAAATGATAAAAATAAACTATATATATATTATATATATATATATATATATATATATATATATATATATATATATATATATATTTGAAAGCATTCTTATTTCACAGCATTTCTTCACACCTGCCTAAAACCTTTGCACAGTATTATTTTGTGTATGTACTGTATGTCTGTACGTACATACATTGCTCCAAACAAATTAAACACTTTGAAAACATATCAGGTCTCAATGGGGAAAAATATTATGCTGGATATGTATACTGATATGGACTGGGTAATGTGTTAGGAATGTAAGTTTTCCCCATCGTTTGATGGAAATGTAGATTATCAACCTACAGAGGTCTGAATTCAAAGTGAAAAAATTATGCAGCAGGCTAGTCCATTTTGCTGAAATGTCATTGCAGCAGCTCAAAATTGTCCTCAGTAGTTTGTATGTCCCCCATGTGCTTGTATGCATGCCTAACAACGTCGGGGCATGCTCCTAATGAGACGACGGATGGTGTCCTGGGGTATTCCTCCCAGATCTGGACCAGGGCATCACTGAGCTCCTGGACAGTCTGAGGTGCAACCTGGCACCAGCAGATGGACCGAAACATAATATCCCAGAGGTGTTCTATTGGATTTAGGTCAGGCGAGCGTGGGGGCCATTCATTGATATCAATTCCTTCATCCTCCAGGAACGGCCTACACACTCTCTGCACATGAGGCCGGGCATTGTGGTGCACTAGGAGGAACCCAGGACCCACTGCACCAGTGTGTGTGTGTGTGTGTATGTATGTATGTATATATGTGTGTGTATATATATATATATATATATATATGTGTGTATATTTATATATATATATATATATATATATATATATATATATATATATATATATATATATATACATACATACATACATACATACATACATACTTACTTTTTTTTTTTTTTTTTTTTTTGAGACCTTCAAGGTGATCTTGTGACACACGCGATCCTCTCCTACCGATGGGCAATACTCATTGATGCAGAGGACTCTGCATCATTACATTGTAAACACGGGGCAATGTAATAGTTCCTCTTACTCACAGGGTTTCTTCCGTTTTTCTGGTTGAATGATGTTGGCCATTATTCAAATCATAAGGCTGAGGAGATCTTGTGGCAAAAAAGGCATTACCCTAAAAAGTGTAATACATAAAAATTTTCAAAAACATGGTACAACTTATATACTTAAGAACAAAATTCCATACTGTACCAATGATGGTATAACGCTGCACTATTTTCACTATTTTGTGATTGCTTGGATTGGTTTTTGATTTCTTAAAGAAAAAGCCATTATAGTAGGGGACAACTCCCAGAGAACAGGTAAAGTACTAAAATCTAAACATTTTTTACTGTTATGCATTCTGCGCATTAAAGTGATTGTAAATGGCTTTTTTTAAAAATAACAGGTTTATACTTACCTGCTCTGTGCAATTCCATTGCACAGAGCAGCCCTGAACCGCCTATTCTTGGGTCCCCCGCTGGCACTCCTGGCTCCTCCCCTTCGCCGCATGCCCGCATAGAAAGCTGCTTTCTGTGCAGGCTCACTCTCAAGCCTTGCTGTCTGTGTGACTCGGCCTTGCCTCTGTCACTGGCTTTGATTGATTCACTCAGCAAAGCCAGTGAAGGGGGGGATGCAAGAAATGCATTAAAGTAAGAAAGGCTTTATAACCACTTTAGGGATAGAGGAGGAAGGTAGGACAGGTAGTGGGGCGTAGGAGCACCCCAAGGAGGGAGTAATAGTGGTGTGACCCTCCTGCGCTCCAAATATAGTGTTTTAAATAATACAAATTAAATATATGAACCCCAAACAGCTGCTAGCATTAAATCATATACCAGTGATCAAGTGAATATAAACCATATAAATGCTGCGCTACATTCAAAATTAAAGTGAATGTGGAATCCGATAATATAAATCAATATAGTGACAATATTATGTAAATAAATATATAAGTGCTTAATGATAACAAAAATTATCACATCAAACACCCCAAAAATTATAAAAACACAAACTTAAATCTATACGCATGTGCATAAATTACACATACATATAGTTATATCACACGTGCAAATGTGAAGTGAAATAATGGCTTATTAAACACACAGAAAAACAAATCTAAAATGTTGAAGGTGAAAAAAAAAATGTGAAGTGAAATAATTGCTTATTAAACGCACAGAAAGTCCAATTAAATGTTGAAGGTGAACAAAAATGATAACGGTGTTTTCCAATAATACTGCAAAGTAACCACAGGTGAACCAAATCGTGCAGGTATCTGAGTGTAGATAGAGCTTGTGAATCCAACCACCTTCTGGATTAGCCTCTCACCTCATCCCTTCGACCCTTGCGGATCAAAGAGCAATAATGGATCCCTCTCACAGATCCTCCAGCACCACAGCCTTCCAGAAACGCTTTTCAAATTTCAATAATCCCACTCAAGCTCTTCTCCAGGTATAGGTGAAACATCAATCCCTCAGAACAAAAAGAGGAATCCTCCCATAGTGTAGTATATTTATTTATTTATACCATAGGAACATAGGAACATAAACTTGTAGGTAGAAAATTCCACTTACATAGCAGCCAGTCCATATGAGACCCTCATCTGAGAGCATGAGGGTCTCATATGGACTGGCTGCTATGTAAGTGGAATTTTCTACCTACAAGTTTATGTTCCTATGTTCCTATGGTATAAATAAATAAATATACTACACTATGGGAGGATTCCTCTTTTTGTTCTGAGGGATTGATGTTTCACCTATACCTGGAGAAGAGCTTGAGTGGGATTATTGAAATTTGAAAAGCGTTTCTGGAAGGCTGTGGTGCCTGGAGGATCTGTGAGAGGGATCCATTATTGCTCTTTGATCCGCAAGGGTCGAAGGGATGAGGTGAGAGGCTAATCCAGAAGGTGGTTGGATTCACAAGCTCTATCTACACTCAGATACCTGCACGATTTGGTTCACCTGTGGTCACTTTGCAGTATTATTGGAAACACCGTTATCATTTTTGTTCACCTTCAACATTTAATTGGACTTTCTGTGCGTTTAATAAGCAATTATTTCACTTCACATTTTTTTTCACCTTCAACATTTATAGATTTGTTTTTCTGTGTGTTTAATAAGCCATTATTTCACTTCACATTTGCACGTGTGATATAACTATATGTATGTGTAATTTATGCACATGCGTATAGATTTAAGTTTGTGTTTTTATAATTTTTGGGGTGTTTGATGTGATAATTTTTGTTATCATTAAGCACTTATATATTTATTTACATAATATTGTCACTATATTGATTTATATTATCGGATTCCACATTCACTTTAATTTTGAATGTAGCGCAGCATTTATATGGTTTATATTCCAAGGAGGGAGTAGCTGACAGCGCCAGAGGAAACAGAAGGAAAGTGACCTTTCTGTTTAATATTGTTGCACAGTGCAGGTAATTATAACATCTTTTTTTATAAAGAAATACATTTACCTTTACTATTTTAATCAGTGCCTGGGGGAACATTAAATAAAATAGCCAGTTTTAAGACTTTTGCAAGGAATTACGCCAGCAGTATCTAACACATAACATAACGTGACTAAAATGAAGTTTCACATAATGCAAGGCTTGTGTTCACTGATTTCTTTAGGAAGAGGAACCAGACACCAGCAATTTGGATGTTGACCACAATTATTTCCAAGAGAAGGTGTGGCCACTGCTGGCGCACAGAGTACCTGCATTTGAGTCACTCAAAGTGAGTACTGCACAAGAAGGAGGTAGTGTCTCACAGGGGGATCTTTTAAACCTGGCACTCTGAAAATGTCAAATGTAGATAGAGTCATTGTTTTCATGTTCTAGCACCTTGCACGCTGAAGTCTTCTTGGGTAGGTTTGATGGCAGGAAGTCGGCTACATGCAGAAAAGTATCCTATCTTTTGGCCTAAAAATTTTACTTGAAAGCACAAGGAGCTTTCTCTGCTACGTTGAGCAGAGAGAATTATGGGGGGCACTGCAAGCTCCACACTGCTGCCCACGGTTTTTAATTTGGCTGTAAATTATGGACCACAGTGCGTGTACCCCAGCTGAATATAAATATATATGTCGATACATAGTGTAAAATTTATAAAGTATAAAATGTGTATACAAATCATCAGAAGAATAACTCCAACTAGAAATCAGAGGCCAGCTGTTCACATGTGCACCATTTTCAGAGATGTTCTGTTCTTGGTTGGACACACATTGATAGTCTTATCATTATTTATACACATGGGATTGCATAAGTTGAATAATTTATATGTTTATTTACTTGTAGAGAGGCATGTTTGTTTTATTTGGGATAATTTGTACAATATGTTGTATCGCTGCACTTTTTATTATTATTAATTCTGAAGGATGGGAAGGCCAATGCTGTAGGGATCAGTCTAGATATAAATTTTTATTTGCCAGAATTAAGAGTCTATCAAAAGTCATCAGCCAGCGTGGTTTGGGGGCATACACTGATCCCCCTTCAACAGGGCTTGCGTCAGTTGTGCAAGTGGTATCTGGATGAGCCTTCTGGCGTGACTGAGCACGAAGCTAATTCCATAAAGACATAGTTTGATGAGTTTGGTGTGGAAAACTCAAGTTCCTGGCCCAAAGCCCTGACCTGAACCCTACTGAACACTTTTAGGATGAATTGAAACCTAAATGTGAGCCAGGTCTTCTTGTCCAGCATCAGTACCTGATCTTAGAAATGGACACAAATTCCTACAGACACACTGCAAAATCCTGTGAAAGCCTACCCACAAGGGTGGGGTCTTTTACAGCCACAAACAGGGCAACTCCATATTAGTGGTCATAGTTTTGCAATAGAATATCCATCAAGCTCTTATAGGTGCGATGGTCAGGCATCTATAATCTTTTGGACTTTCAATTATATTTCTAAAAGTTAAATATCCTCTGTCAATTTCAAAAAAGTTGGAACACTGTGTAAAATCTACATAAAAGCAGAATGCAATGATTGCAGATCTCAAACTCATGATTTAGTCACAATAGAAAACAGATACCGTATTTGCCGGAGTATAAGACGATATAGGGTTTGGGCGTATAAGACTACCCCCCTACTTTTCCTGATTTAAAATATAGGGTTTGAGCTATACTCGCCGTATAAGACTACCCCTCTTCCAACGCACACCAAATAAAAATGAAAAAACATCAGATTTGATTTCAATATGGTATGGTATTTCAGTATGGTATTCCAATGATGGGGTGCTATTCCTCCCACTGACACCAATGATGGGGCACTATTCCTCCCACTGACACCAATGATGGGGCATGATTCCTCCCACTGATACCAATGATGAGGCACTAGTCCTCCCACTGACACTAATGGTGCCCCATCAGTAGTGTCAGTGTGTGAGGAATAGTGTCCCATCATTAGTGTCAGTGAGAGGAATAGTGCCCCATCATTCGTGTCAGGGGAGGAATAGTGCCTCATCATTTGTATCAGTGGGAGGAATCATGCCCCATCATTGGTGTCAGTGGGAGGAATAGTGCCCCATGGTTGTTGTCAGTGGGGAGAATAGTGTCCCATCGTTGGTATCAGTGGGGAGTAAAGTGCCCCATCGTTGGTGTCAGTGGGGGAGGAATAGTGCCCCTTCGTTGGTGTCAGTGGGGGAGGAATAGTGCCCCATCGTTGGTGTCAGTGGGGGGAGAATAGTGCCCCATCGGTGGTGTCATCGTGGGGGGGGAGGAATAGTGCCCCATCGGTGGTGTCAGTGGGAGGAGGAATAGTGCCCCATCGTTGGTGTCAGTGGGGGAGGAATAGTGCCCCATCGTTGGTATCAGTGGGGAGAAAAGTGCCCCATCGTTGGTGTCAGTGGGGGAGGAATAGTGCCCCATCGTTGGTGTCAGTGGGGGGGAGGAGGAATAGTGCCCCATCGTTGGTGTCAGTGGGGAGGAGGAATAGTGCCCCATCGTTGGTGTCAGTGGGGAGGAGGAATAGTGCCCCATCGTTGGTGTCAGTGGGGAGGAGGAATAGTGCCCCATCGTTGGGTGTCAGTCGGGGAGGAGGAGGAATAGTGCCCCATCGTTGGTGTCAGTGGGGAGGAGGAGGAATAGTGCCCCATCGTTGGTGTCAGTGGGGAGGAGGAATAGTGCCCCATCGTTGGTGTCAGTGGGGAGGAGGAATAGTGCCCCATCGTTGGTGTCAGTGGGGAGGAGGAATAGTGCCCCATCGTTGGTGTCAGTGGGGAGAATAGTGCCCCATCGTTGGTGTCAGTGGGGGAGAGGAGCGGCTGCTCCTTCTTTCAGTTCGGCAGCTTGATTTTCGCGGGGCCGCTCGGCTCCGCCTCCTCGCCGGTGATTCGTCGCCTGTGTGCGCTGGCGCCCAATCACCAGTGAGGAGGCGGAGCCGAGCGACCATCGAGCGGCCAAACTGAAAGAAGGAGCAGCCGCGCTTCCTGGACCGGATCATCGTGGTGGGACCGGAGCCAGGTAAGGTACAGCAGCCCCTCTGCCCACCCCTGTACTTAGTGTCCGTTGGAGTGTCCCCTGGAAAAAGTGCCGCCCTGACACACCGGCTCGCCGTATACCGGCGTATAAGACGACCCCCGACTTTTCAGAAGATTTTCAGGGGTTGAAAAGTCGTCTTATACGCCGGCAAATACGGTATTTAAAAAATACCATTTTAAGAAAAAATGATGTAATTTTGAAATTGATGGCAACAACATGTCTCAAAAAAGTTGGGACAGGGCCACATTTAGCATGGTGTATGTAGCATCCCCTCCTCTTTTAAAAACACTCTGTAAATGTCTAGAAGCCAAGGAGACCAGTTGCTAAAGTTTTGGAAATGGAATGTTGTCCCATTTTTGCCTGACATAGGCTTCTAACTGCTCAACAGTCCTGGGCTTTCTTTTTCATCTCAAGATGCACCAAATATTTTCCGTTGGTGAAAAGTCTGGACTGCAGGCAGGCAAGTTAAGCACCCGGACTCTTCTACTATGAAGCCATGCTGTTGTCATAGATCCAGTTTAGCATTGTCCTGCTGAAGTATGCAAGGCATTTCCTGAAAAAGATGTTGTCTGGATGGGAAAATATGCTGCTCTAAAACCTGGATATATCTTTCAGCATTGAAGGTAACTTTCCAGATGTGCAAGCTGCCCATTCCATACGCACTTATGCACACCCATACCATCATAGATGCAGGCTTTTGAACTGAGCATTGATAACACGCCTGAAGGTACCTTTCCTCACTGGTCTGGAGGAAGGACATGGCGCCCGTGGTTGCAAAAAAAAAATGTCAAATTTTGATTTGTCTGACCACAGAACAGTTTTGTAATTTTCAACAGACCATTTTAAATGAGCTTTGGTCCAGAGAAGACGGTGGCGTTTTTGCTTCATGTTCAGATATGGCTTCTTCTTTGCATGATAGAGCTTTACCTTGCATGTCTGGACAGCAAGGTGAACTATGTTCACAGACAGTGATTTTTGGAAGTATTCCTGAGCCCATGCAGTGATATACATCACAGAATCATGTCTGTTTTTTTAATGCAGTGCCATCTGAGGGCTTGAAGATTACAAGTATTCAAGTTTGTGTTTTGGCCTTGTCCCTTGCGTACAGAGATTCCTCTGGATTCTTGGAATATTTTGATATTATGTACTGGTAGATGATATTTTAAGTCTTTGCAGTTTTACGTTGAGGAACATTATTCTGAAATTGTTGGACGATTTTTAGACGCAGATTTTCACAGATTGGTAAACCTCTGCTCATCTTTACTTCTGAGGCATTTCAACTCTCTAAGATGCTCTTTTTATACCCAATCAGGTTACTGACCTGTTGCAAATTACATTATTTAGTTGCAAAACATTCTTCTAGGGCTTGTTAGTACCCCTTACTTTTGCCAGCTGTTTGTTGCTCTGTCCCAGCTTTTTTGAGACAAGTTGCTGCCGCCTTCAGTTTTGAAATTAATTTTCTTTTTTTTTTTTTTTCTTAAAAACAGTACGTTCTCAGTTTATACATGTGATATGTCTTTCATTTTTGTTTTGTGAATAAAATCTGGGTTTAAGATTTGCAAATCATTTTATGTCGTTTTTGCACAGCTTTCCCACACTTTTTTGTTATTGGGGTTGTCCTATTTTATACAGTTCAACATGTATTTATAGTATTTAATTTCCAATAAATTATTTTACAGCAAAATTTTGCAATTTAGAGGTGATCGTCACCTTTGCTGTGTTTCCCTAGGTAAAATCAGCCTGGGCAGGATTTTATGATTATAACACATTCGACCAAAACGGGGTGATTGGAACGCATCCACTGATACAGAACATGTATTTTGCCTGCGGGTTCAGTGGACACGGCTTGCAGCAGGCACCGGGCTGTGGGACGGGCAGTGGCAGAGCTATTGCTTGAGGGAGATTTCAAGACCGTGAACCTAAAACCCTTTGGCTTCCAGCGTTTCATTTCGAACAAGCCCATCCTAGAAAGGAATATTGTATGACGTGAGTATACTGTTATTTGGCTCTGACTTATCTGCATAGGGGACCCAGAAAAGCAACTGGGTTTGTATTTGTTTTGTTTCTCTATTGGCAAGATAGAACTATTAATCTAGTGAGAATCCAGTAAAGCAAGGGTGCTCAACTGATTGAAGAGCGAGGGCCACTTAAGTGGCAACCAGTTGTGGGCCCCAATGAAATGACATGGTTCAAAATTTCAAATTTATTTGAAATCGCATAATGGACGTTTTCCTCCTGCACCTGCTGAATGATGGCACGAGGGAGAGGAGAAGAGGTTGGCTTTCAGCAGTTGCAGGAGGAAAATGGAGAGGATCAGTTCCTGTCCATATGCTGCCCCTCCTGTCCAAGTGTAAAACAGAAGCATGTCCCATGCTCCCCTTGGACACCCTTGACATTAAACCAGTGGTAGGGGGTGTGCGGCAAAAACACGTCTCAACTATGAGGTTTTACCGCCCTCCCCAAACTACAAGTGTAAAAGTCTGTGCTGTGCCCCCACTATAAGGCTGCTTTCACGCTTATGTGCTGCGGTTTACCTGTACCACCTGTAAGTTAGCTGCCCTTTGCCATAGGCTTCTATTCTATTTTGCAGGTGTGGTGCATTTCTGAAAGTGCACAAAAACTCCTGCCTTAAGGTTGAGGGCCACATCAGAGGACTCTGAAAGCCAAAGGTTAAGCACCTTTGGACTACGGGAATCAAAAACCATTCCGAAACAATGAAAGAATTTGAGTACTTTCAAGGTGCTATGAGACTGTAAAAGGTTTAAAGCAAGCCATACATGTTTCATTTTCTTTCATTCAGTCTGTCGTTTGAACAAAAGAAAAAATGTAATCGATTTCTCCATCCACAAATTCGAGGTGGCTGGGGGAATACCTTCCGCGGAGCTATTGTTTTCCAACAATGGCGAGGCTTCTCCTCCATCTGAATACACTCATCGGCATTCTTGGCTATAGCCGGCAGCACTGATTGAGCAAAAATTTTCCAGCATGCTGACTGTGTAGAAGTTGATAGAGAGTTTGACATATCTTTGGCCTGTATTGCCTACTGTTCAATCAAATTTACACAGCATGGGTTCCTCACAAAATTTTGATGGTTAGCTGTATAGGGAGAAAAAATATAAGCACTTTGTGTAGAAGTGAGTGTGCTGTAGCCTCCAATGATTGCTCTTGGGCACATTTAAAAAAAAATGAAAAATACAGACCATGAAAGTTAGATAGTCCTGTTGATTATTGATATGGCATACTCACTGATAGTGGGGGACAATTACAATTACAACAATTATCCTAATATTTAACAGTTGTAATAATTTTCACTGATGAAGGTTGAAAGATGCAGCAAAAACCGTAAGTGTAGAAAGGTAGCTTTGCTAACACTTTAACAGACCTGGGCCAGATCAAGTGCCTCAATACTCGTAAAAATAGAAAGTTATTAAAGCATAAGTTCACCTTTTGGAACATATTACTTGTTCCATCAGTATTTAGGATACAACATGTTCCAGCTCACTCTGATCCCACTCTAATTGTGACAGGGGACTAGATGCCTGCTCCCACTGTCACAACTCAAGAAACATTGTGGCTGTGCGGGGCTGTATCCCCCATCATCCATTCACAAAAGCCTGTGAATGAATGAACTACAACTACTATACACCTTTGCAGCTGACAGCTTGTAGTTCTGAATGAACTGTGAGGGCACTGATGAGCACACTCGTAGTTCACTCACAAGCCCTGTGACTATAAACTGCCTGTATGAAGGTTCGGGCTGAAAGCTGCAGGGCTTGTCTGCAGATGTCTGGCATTGCACCCCTGATCACGGTGGGAGTGCTCCTTAGGGAAAAAATAATAAATGGACATTTTTTTTTTTTTCTACAAACGTGTATTTGTTTTTTTTCCCAGAAGGTAAACTTATCCTTTATGCATTGTTCACCAAGAATGTGATCAATGAAAATGGGTAGGATCAAGTGTAGAAAAACCGAAATGTAGCCAGATCCCTCAATGTGAGACAATTAAAAAAAAAAAAAAAAATTAATTTTACTAATACTGGGACAGCACTATGGTACTCAATGGTCAGCGTGACCACACTGATCAAGAAATTATTATTTCACCTGGAACACCTTACCAAAAGAAGCCTCAGATGCGTTTCTCATTGGTCAGCACCTTCCTGTGGCTATGCTGACTAATGAGCGCTTGCCATTGGGAGCAGTATGAGATACTCACTCCAAAGCTGTGTATTGTGGTGTATAGACTACTACATTGGCAGAATGGGGCATCACAGCAGTTATGTGCAGCAGGGCCTGGAGGGGTAGCCAGGATATTTTGGAGTTAGTTCACCTTTTAATTTTTCATGAGAAGGTGAGCTTACCCTTTAAGAAATTCTATATGCAGCGGGTTACCATTTTTATCAATAAATATATTTACAAAAGGTGCTATTGAAATGAAATTTTCACCAGATGTCCCTACCAACCCATACATACAAATAAACCAAAACAAATAAGTTCAGAAATTAAGTTATGTGTAATAAAATGAAATGACATAGGGGAAAAAGTATTGAACACATGAAAGGAAGGTGCAAAAAGGGCATGGAAAGCCAAGACACCAGCTGAAATCAGTAATTAGAAAGCAATCCTGCCCCTTGTCAGTGCAAATTAATATCAGCTGGTTCAGTTTCAACTGATGGCCTATAAAAAGTCTCATTACAAAGGCGTCACATCTCATGATGGGTAAAAGCAAAGAGCTCTCTCAAGACCTTTGAAATCCTATTGTTGCAAAACATACTGATGGCATTGTTTACAGAATGATTTCTAAACTTCTGAATGTTCCAGTGAGCACTGTTGGGGCTATAATCCAGAAGTGGAAAAACATAATTTCACTATAAATTGGTTATGACCAGGTGCTCCTCGCAATATTTTTGACAGAGGAGTGAAAATAATTATCAGAAGCATTGTCCAAGAGCCAAGGACCACTTGTGGAGAGCTTCAGAAAGACCTGGAATTAGCAGGTACAATTGTTTCAAAGATAACAGTAAGTCATGTACTCAACTGCCATAGCCTGTAAGCACGCTCACCATGCAAGACTCCATTGCTGAAGAAAAAACAATTTGACCTCGTTTAAAGTTTGAAATGTTACTGTGAGATACTGGGAGAATATAGTCTGGTCAGATGAGACAAAAATTGAACTCTTTGGAAGCCATAATACACACCATGTTCGGAGGCCAAATGGCAATGCACGTCACCCCAAAACACCATACCAACTGTGAAGCCTGGAGGTGGAAACATCATGGTGTGGGGCTGTTTTTCAGCATACGGTACTGGCAAACTTCATGTCCTTGAAGGAAGGATGAATGGAAAAATGTACTAAGACATTATTGATAAAAATCTGCCTCCATCTAACAGGATGATGAAGATGAAATGAGGGTGGGCATTTCAGCAAGACAATGATCTCAAACACAAGGAAGCCAAGGAAACTCTCAACTAGTTTCAAAGAAGGAAAATAAAGCTGCTAGAATGGCCCAGCCAACTAAAGATCAGAGTTCATAGAAGAGACCCACAGAACCTTCAAGATTTAAAGACTCTTTGTGGGGAAGAATGGGCAAAATCACACCTGAGCAATGCATGAGACTAGTTTATCCATACAGGGGCCATCTTGAAGCTGTCATTACCAACAAAGGATTTTGTACCATGTATTAATTAATTTTCAGTTAGTTTTGTTCTATACCTTTTGCTGTGTCATTCCACTTTTACACATTTCTGAATTTATTTGTTTTGGTTTCTTTGTCTGTATGAGTTGCATGGGTTGTTACCGACGTGAGAATTTCATGTCAAAAGCACCTTTAGAAAATATTTAATGAGAAAAATGGTGACTTGTTGAATCTTTATTTTATCTGCTGTGTATATATATATATCTATATAATAAAAACATTATCAACATTTTGATCCATCAGGTTACAAAACCAAAGAGCGATCTTTGTCAATATTTGGATCATCACTCAACAGCAGAAACATCTGTTGGATCACAACAATCACACACTGCACAAGCCATAATGGATTCTGTATCAAATCTTCAGCAAAAATACATTACCTCACCTGATGGAAACCTCCTGCAAAACAAAAACATTTTATATACATATATGAATGTCATATCATGTCTGAATGTAGTCTGCTTGGTACACAATGTCCTACACAAAAAACAATTACTGAACCTTTTTTTCAGCTAACTTTTAAGGCTTTTAATTGGTTGTCTGCCAACCACGTAATTTAAGGTGCTACTTTACCAATCTATGCACCAGTATTCTATGTGTGGAGGAAGTGATGTGTGAACAACATTTTACTTTTTTTTTTTTATATAAAGTGGCTTTCAAAAAAAGAATGTATTGATTAAAGGCAGACTTTTTATTATAAAATTTGAAGAGCAATAAATGTTTATTAAAGCAATGGGAGATAGAGATCCAGCTTTGCAGACGTAAGACATTGTCAAAATGAAACCATAATAGGAAGCAGGGGCTTGGGGGTGCACACAAATTTCCCCAACTGTGTCGGGGTGTGTGATCCCTGAAGGCACATACAGAAAGCAAAAGTATACTGGATGTTGATAAATGGAATGGACAGTAATGGTAGTGGGGATGGGGAAGGGTCCATATCCTTAGGCCCACAAGACATTTTGGGGGAGGGGAGTAGGGGCTTGCACTACCCTAGAGCATTTATTTAAGTCAAGATCTAAAAAAAATAAAAGTGAGCAGCTACAAAAACTGTAGCTGCTGACTTTTAAAAAACAGACATTTACCTGTCCCTCGATACAGCGGTTGTTTACACCAGTCGGGTTCACTAGCTGTTGTCTCTCCCCGGAGCTGGCATCTTAAGCGTGGGCACTCGGCTGTGACAGCTTGCAGCTTCACAACAGGGTGCCCACTGCTCATGTGTTAGGAGCTCTGGGCCTTCTAAATGGTCCCATAGTCTTCTGGGACCTCCACTTTTTGGTGGAGCTTCGCTTTAACAATACAGAGAATAGTGTGATAACATGCTGCACCCAATACCTGTCTTCCATTGATTCTATTGGCAGTGAAGACTTATTAGAAACTAGGTGAAGAAGGATTTGACTCAGCCAGGAAAGGTAAAGGAAATCTTTGTTTCCTTTATGAGGATTGTGTATTACATAGTAACTGGATTAGAGATTTGTTTAGACTGTCATAGAAATGGGACACACCATAAAAGAAAAGGTAAGAAGACTTTTCAAGTAACAATAATCTAGCCTTATAGTTTTTCTGGAAAAAGTACAGTGCGGATGACAGTCCTATGACTTTGCTTGACCTGCTTTATGTTGCATTTCTTTGTGTTCCAATGAGGCAGGTTTGCATTGCAGGTAAAGTAGGTCAGGTGGCACATTGTGCTACATCATGCTTTTCGCATGGCTTAGGTAAATGCAGAAAGGCAGTTTTACAGCAATGCCCCTCTGCACAACCACTATTGAAAAAGTAAATGTAACAGATTTCCCTTGTAAACTTCTGAATGTATAGACTTAAGTAAACATTTCCAATCAGACTTTTATCTATTCTGTTGCAGACATGGTGTGAAAAATATCAGATAAGAAGCAAGTTCATATTTCCCGTCACAGTCACCCATTCTTGGTTTGTGGGGTCACATGTACCGATTGCACGGACAATGAAACCATTCATTTGCCGATTCGGCTCTCTTTAACTCCTCTTCTTTTTAAACAGATCAGCTACAGAGGGGTTTTTCCTCTTTTGTCCTGCAAATGAAGAATGATAAGTGTATTAATTTTATACTTTGTATACGTCCTCCAATATCGTCTTTCTACTATGCCAAAATAGGCAACACTGGGCACAATAACCTTGTCGCGTTAAAGCATTTACATATTCCATTGCCATAAAAACAACGCTCAATTGTACTTCAGGCGGGTGGGGTTATTTTTGAGGCAACACTATGGGGTTTATTTACTAAAGCTCAAGAGTGCAAAATCAGGCTCACTTTTGCACAGAAACCAATCAGCTTCTAACCTCAGCTTGTTCAGTTAAGCTTTGGCAATAAAACCTGGAAGCCGATTGGTTTCTCTGCAGAAGTGAGCCTGATTTTGCACTCTCCAGCTTTAGTAAATAAATCCCTATGTATAACTACTTAAAACTAGGTAAGTATTGTGCCTGGAGCTGGGCTTTAAAGCCCAACTCCAGGCTCACCTTTCTGCCCCACAGTGCTCCTTTATACTTACCTTATACAGATGTTTTCAGGCCAGTCACATGACGCACAGGTTCTTTTTCTTCTGCGGATCTTCTCTGGTTGATGAGCAGTGTTGCAGAGAGGGGCACGCTGACGTGGGTGACATCAGCGCAGCTCCCTGAAACATTACATGGTAATTGCAGGGTGTAGACCAGGGGTGGGCAAACTTTTTGACTTGAGGGCCGCAATGGGTTCATATATTGGACCCGCGGGCCGGACCAAGAGTAGATGAATGATGTGTATGTGTCATCCATAGTAAGTATAGTAATATTCCCCCATAGTAAGCATAGTAATTCATCCCCCATAGTAATTCATCCCCCATATTAATTCATCCCCCATATAATAATTCATCCCCCATAATAATAGTAATTCATTCCCCATATTAAGTCCCCCCTGTGTCAATTCACTTACCTTTTCTCCGCGCGTTCCTCTCGCCGTGTTCCCGCGTCGTTCCGGTGTAGCATGAAAATCTGTCTCCTATGAGGATCTGTCCCCCTCGACGTATCTGTGCATGTGCCAGTTTCAGGCATTAGCAGCCGATCGGCGATCTCCGGCACATGCGCAGATACGTCGAGGGGGACAGATTTTCATGCTACACGGTCTTCAGGGCGGACTGTGAGAGGAGCCTAGCGGGAGCCTATCTCCGCGGGCCGGATTAAAAGGTCCGCCGGGCCGTATATGGCCTGTGGGCCGTAGTTTGCCCATTGCTGGTGTACTGTTGAAAAAAAATATCTTGCAGGGGCAGCTCTGGGGAGGAATCTGGAATGTAGTGATGTGGTCCAGCCAAAAATATATATATATATATATATATATATATATATATATATATATATATATATATAATATATATATATATATAATATATATATATATATATATATATACACATATACACATATATATATACATATACACACATATATATATATATATACATATACACGTATTTTCGCTCCATCCATAAGACGCACCTGACCATAAGACGCACCTAGGTTTTAGAGGCAGAAAACAGGAAAAAAAAAAAGACATAGTACAGGAGATGACCAGAGACTGTGGACAGCACAGGGATGACCAGAGACTGCGGGCAGTACAGGAGATGACTGCTGACCTTTGGGAGGGGGGGGAGCGGGTACCTGAATTTGACAGGTACCCGCTCTTACTTCCGCGGAGTTGTTCTTTGATCTTACCTGTTCCTCTATCCAGCCGCGCGCTGTCTTTCCGGCTTCTATAGTGTCGGCGCTCGGCATGACAGCCGGGTGCCCAGTGCGCATGAGCGAGAAGCACTTGCGCTTTGTGATTGATCCGGCGGCTTCTGGGATCTGTCATGTGTCCCAGATGCCGCCTTACCATTCACAAAAAGCACCGCTTCTTGCGCATGCGCACTTGGCACCCAGCTGTCAAGCCCAGCGCCCACACTACAGAAGCGGGGAGGACAGCGCGCCGCTGGATAGCGGAACAGGTAAGGTCAAAGAATAACTCCGTGGAGTAAGAGCGGGTACCTGTCAAATTCAGGCACCCGCTCCCCACCTCCCCAAAGGTCAGCAGTCATCTCCATAAGGTCCCGCTGCAGAGCTGAGCGGCCGGCCCGGTATTCTGACACGGCGGCGGTGGAAATACCGGACCGGCCGCTCCATAAGACGCACTAACATTTTCCCCCCTTTTTTGGGGGGGAAAAAGTGCGTCTTATGGAGCGAAAAATACAGTATATCTTTGTTTTGGGGACTATTTAAAAATGGCCAGAATTGGGCTGTACAATAATCTCAGCAGGATTTTCAAAGTATTTCTGGACAGAACTGGTTTCTTACCATTTTTGGCGCTCCTTCCCTCAGTCTCCTTCTCGCTGCCCCCGGATCTCCTGGCGTAGGCAGCCTTCATGCGCTGAATATTCTTCTTGCTCACCGTTTCATGTACCACAATGGGTTTGGGATAATCTCTCCCGATGATGCATCCTGCCCTCTCCTGTATACTGCGTGGAGCCTTCCATGGTTCATATATGTACTCAGCAGGAAACTTCTTCAGAAAGGGCAGGTACTTCCTGTGCAAAACCCAGCAGACATTTCATAGAAAAGCACAATAAAGATGATATATTACCATTTACATCTGCGCTAAAGGCAGATATTAAAAAAAAAAAAAAAAATCAATGGATGCAATTATTTATTAATTGAGAAACAATTACAAGTATTACTGTGGCAATAACATATCAAGGGAATGTTCAGCCTTTTTAAATCTGAAGCTATTGTTAAAGCGGAGTTCCACTCACTCTGTAAAAAATAAAATTTATCAGCTACAAAAACTGTAGCAGCTGACTTTTCAAAAACAGCCACTCACCTGTCCCACGATCCCGCATTGCCCCCACCACAGCCCGTTTCACCAGCCGTCCTGTATTCCAGGTGCCGGCATCTTCAGTGTGGGCACCCGCTGTCACAGCTTGCGGCTTCACAGCCGGGTGCCCACTGCGCATGCTTGAGTAGCGCTGCACTTCCTGAATGGCCCCGTCGTTTTCTGGGACCTGTCACGTGTCCCACAAGACTTTGGGGAGGGAGGATAGGAGGACAACTGCTGTTTCCAATCGCCTAGATGATCGCAGCGGTAGTGGAAGCGGATACCTGTCTAATTCGGGTACCCGTTCCCCCACCGCTCCCCAATGGTGCCAATCCTTAATGGGGAGCGGGGGACCAATCTTTAAAGCGGAACTTCCCCTTTTGGGTGGAACGCCACTTTCAAATAATCCCTGGTTATCCTGCTATGAAGATTCTTGTTCAGACACGTCCTGTTATACAGTGACAATGTTCTGACATTGTCACCCAAGCTCTCAAAGACTTCAAGTGACCATTTCAACACATATTACACAGGTGTGGCCCACTGTTATCACCATCAGAAAACCCACCAATAGATATGCCATGCAGCCACTGCTGACATGCATTGTAGAAGAAAGATCAGCAGCACTGAGATGTAACAAAGGACGGAAACAAGTGAATTACAATTGTACTGAATACACAGAGCAAATGTCATCGAGTTGAGGTTTCAGTCTACTTTAAGTGTATTTTTAGTGCAACCAGTGAAAGTGGCTGTATTAGTCTTGATACCGGCCTCCTTCACAACAGCACTCTAATCGACTCAGGCTCTGCTGCAATGCACATGTACCCAGCATGCTGCTGATTTTTATACTGTCCAATTAGCAGGCTGGAGATTGTGTTCTCCAGCCTAAAAAAAAAATTATATATTGATATGCGTAACAAGCTATTGCATGTGAAACATCAAATTGTACAGAAGTAGCACACTATGGTCAATATTGTGCTGCTTCTGTACAATTTGATGTTTCACATGCAATAACTTGTTACGCATATCAATATAACATTTTTTTTTTTTTTTAGACACACACATATATTGCTTGTACATACTTTATGTAATCACCATTCTTGTCCGTCTTCTTCCCAAATACCACTGGAGAGTAGACACGGAAGAACTGGTGGAAGAAAGCGCTGGCCGAGAGCCACAGCCAGTTTCCAGCGTTGAGTGCCCAGTCAGCATCCAAGAGCAGTTCTTCAAATACCTGTGAGCAGAGGATGACAGTTAAAGCCCACCTCCAGCCAAACACTTTTTTTTTTAATTATTATTTTTTTCCCAGTCTGGGCGAGAACATCAGTTAGGTTTTTGCTGCCAGAAGTAGCTCTTGGGGGCATTTCCCCTCACAACCTGTCCTGGTGGCCAAACAAGACGGGAGAAGATCTCCTCAATGAAAACCTGAATAAGGTTCTCAACCTTCCTCACTTTTTTTTTTTGGGGGGGGAATGGCTAACCTGTGCCCCCAATCATGAGAGTTTGCTTGCTTCCTATGTCCAGGTCTCTCGAATGGGTAAGGAAACAGTAATAAAAACCTGATGGAGGCTCTAACTCTTCCCTACCCTCAAAAATATGTTTTCTGGAGTTGTGCTTAATTTCTAACAAATCAGATTTTATATAAAGCTGAAATTTAATCTGCCTATATTATGCCTTCTCTGGTTCCTTCGACATGCTAATAAAATGGTAAATAAAACCGGTTTTCATTACATACCTTATTTTAGACCCAGTAATGTCATCACTGGGATTCCATGCTTCTCTATGAAATGCAGGCAGATCATGGATAGTGGGAAAGGCTGGAAGGGTGCTGTAAACAGCCTTCCTAGACAGACTGCATTTCCATGCAGACCACCCTAGGTTATGCCCATGCATGATGCTGAACTTTCATGATTGAGCCTGATTGAAGCTCAGCATCCAGTGACTGGGGAGCAAAGAGCTAGATGATGCTCTACAGCCTCCAGCCAGGACATTAGGTGGGCTCTGACTTGCTACAGCTTCTAATGCACACTGTGATAAACCCATGGTGTGCAGTGAAATCAGAGTAAGCAAATTAAGTACAAGAGAGGACCCTGTGCAAAAGTTCAACACTGAAGGTCTTGGGATTTCATAGTGACCTGTATTTTTTACAGGTCACTATGAAATCGCAACTTCCTTTATCAATACTTAGAACTGGGGGAACTTAGGGAGATTTCTTGGCGAAACTGAAAGTGTTGCAAAACAGAAGCACTTTGTTTAAACATCCAAAGCAAGGGACCAGCTTGAACAAGAGTTCTGAAGATACTAGATTGATACGTTTACTATATTTTGTAAAGACAGATGTAACAGAGATACAACAAAATTAACAACAAAATTAACAGCACTCTTACATTACATAACAACAAAGAGTTAAAACAAAATATAAATACTATTATAAATATATCCACCAAATGTAAATAAAAGAGGATAAAAATAGAGCAGCAAACAAAATTTACTAGAACTGTATCAAATTTCATAAACTATATATATCCTTCCAGCCCAAGTCCAATCTTTAACAAACTCGTGCAGACTCCACCTCCGCAACATCGCCAAAATACGCGCGTTCCTAACCCCAGAAACCACTAAACAGCTCATCCACTCCCTCATCATATCACAACTCGACTACTGCAACTCCCTCCTCACTGGCCTGCCTCGCCGCTGGCTATCCCCGCTTCAGTCGATCCTGAATACGGCTGCCAGACTCATTCACCTTTCCAACCGCTCCATCTCCGCCACCCCCCTCTGCCAATCCCTCCACTGGCTTCCGATTGCGCAATGGATCAAATTCAAAATCCTAACACTAACGTACAAAGCCGTCCACCATACTGCCCCAAACTACATCACTGACCTAATATCCAAGTACCACCCAGCACGCACACTCCGCTCCTCACAAGACCTCCTTCTCTCTAGTTCCCTGGTCTCCTCCTCCCTTGCCCGCCTCCAGGACTTCTCCAGGGTGTCACCCATCCTCTGGAACTCCCTGCCCCAACCAATCAGATTATCACCTACTCTCCTCTCCTTTAGGCGCACCCTGAAAACCCATCTCTTCAGGGAAGCCTACCCCACCCCCTGCTAACCTGCCGACCTCCTCCACTCTTCCTACCACTCCATCCCCCACAGCTATCTCCTCTTGTGCCACCATCCCCTCCCTCCTAGATTGTAAGCTTGAAAGAGCAGGGCCCCCGATCCCCTCATGTTTTGCATTGTATTGGTATTGTTCCGTCACATGTTCTGTCCCCCTTTGTAACGTACAGCGCTGAGCGAACCATTGGCGCTTTATAAATACTGTATAATAATAATAATATATTGAAAACTTTAATCTGCTCTATAAACTGTAGAAAACCCAAATGAAATTAGAGATTCATCACCATCAGTTTTGAATGTTAAAGTGGCTTTATCTGAATTATTTACACTACAGTCAACATATTTATTTCAACTAAGGCTCACGGATAGACAGAAACCCTTTTCCTAGCTCTTATAATCTGACCTTTTGTCCTTCTTCCCACGATATCCACAGGTCCCCTCGTGTCAAGAAGCAGGCTACAGCATGGCGGGCCAGGTGATGGATCCATCCCTCAGTCCTTAGCTGGGTCATGATTGCATCTATGAAGGGGTAACCGGTTCTGGCCTAGAAAAAGCAGTTGCAGATAGTGGTCACTATTACAGAAATAAGCAATCGATTCATTCTCTGCTTTGGAATTAGGTTGACCAAATACTATACAGTCTGATTGATCCTTTAGATCTACCATCAGCTATACAGTACAAGGGTTTGCTTAGTTAGATACAAATTGAATTGGTTGTTTAAATTTGTCCTCATGGCACACTCACCAAGCCATCACGGACCGCACTCCATCATGGCTTCTGATGGGGGGCCAGCAGGATTGGCTCCCAATCATGTGACTGCTGCAGGAACCAATCATAGTATTAATGTGATAGCCACACCAGCTCCTATGTATGAAGAGCACCAATACAGTCAACATGTTTCTGAGGAAGGACTCCTTCAGAGCTTGGACAACAATTAGCTCAATCCTCAGTTCAGCTTTCTATATTTCATCTTGATTTCATTACAAATCATTGTTCAAGCCCTGAAGAAGAGAAGTACCCCAAAAAATGTTTCAAAACAATTTCAAGCAAGATGAATGTTTATACTAGTGTGCTCTAACCACACACACCCAGGATTTGTTTGTCTATTAAGCAATTTGACTATCAATATCAGAAAGGCAGCAGCCTAAGCCCAGAATGACTGTAAGTCACCACTGTGCTCTGCCGCTCCAGTGCTCACTGGAGTGTCGGACTATGGATGGGTCAGGAGCGGCTGGCTCAGGCTTTCAGCGGCATACTGACAGGATAAGCCAGCTGCCGGGTGAATCCTGACATTATTGTCTGGATCCCTATAGAGCCTGGAGCAGCTCTGTTATGTCAACTGACAGGAAGCTTTAGCCGCTAATGGCTGAATCTGGGTCACAGGACTGCAAAACTAAGTGTACTACTGTGACCCACAGGAGAAATATGGACAAAAGAGCTTTGGCCACACTTCTTCTTTAAAGACATGTTGTCCACACAAACACTATGGGGTCCATTTATAAAACATTATTTGCTTGAATGTCAAACATTTAGGCAAGGAAATTCATATGTTTTCTAATAGATTAGCTACTAACTCACCAGATCCGTCTAGTGGCCAAAATGCCATACAGTTTTCTGAAATACCTCAATAAGAGAATATATTACTTTTTGGCCACTAGATAGAGCTGATGATACAGGAAATAACTGATTAGAAAACAAATTGAAATCTTGTTCAGCTTTCAAAAAATGTTATAAAGTAAAAAAATAAAAAATACAAAAAGGTAAAGCCGTTACCTATAGCAACCGTGCAAACTTATAGCAAATAAAATATTTGATTGGCTGCTGCTACAGCTATAACCCATATAGTCCTAACTTCTGGAACTGTGACTCCCCCCCCCCCCCCCCCCCCCATCCATGCCATCACTCAGCACTCACTTCGCTCCATGCCTTGAGATGCTCCTTGTTCTCATCCCAGTCTACCTGCACACACACAGAATTTCCTACCATCTTGTCAAAGTTCGGTATTCCAGCCCCTACAACGTAGTAGAATTCCCGCCACAGCAGCTGGCCATGGAGCGACACTGGCGGACTTGAGTGTTTTCTTCTAGAAAGACATAAGAGACACCATGATGTGCCAAAGTTTACGACCTATGCTCAGCCCTGGAACACCTTCACAGCCTCTGAAGTGTCCAAAGTGCCACTATAACACCCCTTTCACATGGGGCCATCTAACTGCAGGGAGTCCTTTATCCCTCAAAGCAGAGGACCTTAAATGCTGGTACCATTCGATACAGCCTTCAGCCCCATCCACCTACAGCCTGTCAGAGTTTCTCTCCCAGGCACACTAAATGTCTAGGGGAGCGCGCTGCAACTGGATGGACCCGTGTGCAAGGGGTCTTACAGGGTACTCCACCCAAAAGCAAAATTACACTTACAGGTAAAATCTGGTGAGCCTGGTTTTTTACAGGGGGACTGCTGTATTGAGAGCTGCCAGACATAACTCCAGGCAGCCATCTTCGGGTTTCAAGTGTCATAAAGTTGGGGTGATCCAATTCCTTCTTTTGAATTAATCAATAACATCAAATTAAAAATCCATCAGGACACCCCCCTTTGTGATGTCAGTAGCAGGAGGGCAGGCAGAACGAATCTGAGGAGTGCCCAGCAGATTTTGTTCTTTTTCTGATATTTTATTGTGGTTCTTTTTTTAAAAGACCCTTTCATCAATTTGCAGGCAAAAGCACAGAACAATCAAGTATTTTAAAAGCTTGCTAGCGGTATTTTTTCCTTTTTACATTTGTTTACTCACTTGCAGTGTGCCTTTGACCTTGCTAGAAGATGCGACTTCTCCAGGAAGAGTCAATTCTCCATCACAGCCCCTCCCTCCTTATACATCCCAGCCCTCTCCTCCTCCAACAGTATCTAGTTATTGTCTGTGCTGGCCCTCCCCTCCCTGTATAAGTTTTTATATAGCTGCCAGGGGGGTACTATAGAGCAGTGGTAGGCAATCTCTTGACATTCCAGCTGTAGTGAAACTACACATTCCATCAGTGCTGAGGTGGACTACCTCTGCTACATCACAGAAATGACATTGAAGCTGCTGACATCACATCCATCATGGTGGATACAAGCAGCAAGTTTCTTCACAGTGGAAAGGTTTCTTCACAGTGAGAGCTGCGAAAATGTGGAATAGACTCCCTCAAGAGTTGGTTCTGGCCAGCTCAGTGGATTGCTTTAAAAAGGCCTGGATTCTTTCCTAGATACACAGAATATAACTGGATATAGCATTTATAGGTAAAGTTGATGCAGGGAATATCCAATTGCCTCTCGGGTGATCAGGAAGGATTTTTTTCCCCTGCAGGAGCAAATTGGATCATGCTTTGCTGGTTTTTTTTTTGCCTTCCTCTGGATCAACTGTGGGTGTAGGATTATAACTTTTTTTTTTTTTATTATTAAATGGTTGAACTGGATGACTTTTGTCTTTTTTTCAGCCAGACTAACTATGTAGCAGTCTCAGGGCTTTTGGAAGTCTACATAAGGGAGGATTTTACAGGTAAATAACATGAATAAAATATCTTATAGTATATCATAGGCAAAACTGTTTTTTTTTAATTTCAGATAGAGTGGACAGGGATTAGAATACCTGACAGGTTTTTATTGCAGTCTGTGCCCCGTTAGGTAGATTCACCCCATCTGTTTATCCTGTTTACTGTTAAGGCAAAACATTTTTTTTTAATTTGGAATAGAGTGGAGAGGGTTTAGAATACCGCTCATGTTTTTATTGCCATCTGTGCCCCCCTTAAAGAGATTCAACCTCTTTATTTGTCCCAATTATTGTTATCGCCATGAAAGTAAAGAAAATCACAAATTGTGGGTTGTCACCAAAACCGAATTAGAGGGGAAATCTTCCAATGGGATCATAGTACTAGCAACAACCAGGGATTCCCTTATTTTAGAGGGATTTTCTCTCACTTTCTGTTTTGGCAGGATGCGAAGGTAAATTTCCCCAATGGGACATAGAAGGCAAATAAAAAACACTACCAGAGGTTGTAACCCTCCCTTACCTTGAAATGAAAAGATTTCTTTTTAGTTTCTCTTTAATCTCTTGCTGCCCACAGAATGCATATGTGCAACTGCAAAAAGAGTGGGCTAACATCTGCACCCCGCATTTATTTGTCTATGGATGAAATAGGTTTCCATACAGAGAGTGTGCTCACTGTGACAACGTTCTGTCCCTGTCTCCCAGCTGTGCTTCTGTGTTGTCACCCTCTCACATGGTCTTCTGATGAAGATCCCAATGGCCATCTCAACAAGCATTGCACAGACACGGTCCACTGTTGTCTCCATCAGGAAACTCTGGAGTAATGTCATGTAGCTATCGCTGGAGTGCAAGTAGACAGGAAGTGAATACACAGAGGCTGCAGGAGAACAGCAACATTGGGATGCAACATAGGATGAAAAAAAGGGAACAAAGTACCGTTTATAAAACAGAAAGCAAACTAAATGTCATGCAGTTGGGGTTTATACTGTAACTCCTTCCTGTACCTCGACTTTAACATTTGATCTATGGTCTCACCCCTTGGTAAACCTCCGCCAGTCGCCAGTAAAAACGTTCGAGCCGACAGACAGCCAAATTTCACGTATGGGCTCAGCACAGTGGTACTGGGGGTCAGAGAGTTTGGCTCTGTATCCGGCTTCTGGAAATTACATACCCATGCCTAAGAAGAAACAAAGCAAAAATAAAGCAACACTGAGTATGAAATGAAAAAAAGATTTTTTTTTGTTGATAAAAAACTGATCTACATCTATTTATTGTTCCATATGTCCTCATCTGAGAGGAGTCTGTAAAGGTACCTACTGGCATGCAAAAAGTGGCCAGCAGTGAAATATGACTTTACAAGCATTGCGAATTTGCATGTTTGGTCTATAGAGGAGAACACGCACTTATCTAAAGAGCTGTGGGGCAAAACAATAGCAATCAACAGAGAAAACGTATGAAAAAAAATAACCTAAACCTACTAAAGTGTAAACCCTCATGCCTTGTCAAGTTATTCAGGTTGGGTGCACAAACTGCAATCGATGCATTAAAAAGAAACTCATATATTGCAAAAATACATTAATTTTCTGTCAGTTTTGTCGATCACATGATCAATATACCTCCCCTCTGCACAACCCCAGTCAGTGGATCACGACAGGTCAAGCGGAGGAAGAATGATTAGGAGTGCTAACAAAGTTTTTTAATGCATTTTGTAGTTGCTCGTTTTATCAAGGAATTGTTTTTGTGGGCATCAGGTATACATTTCTGCCATGCTCTGTTATGACATTGAAGCTCCCTGTCAATCATGTAGTTAGAATCACTGACAGAAGCTGATGCCTATGAGATGAGGCTGCTGAAAGGAGGAAGGGGCTAAGCACAGCATGCGTATACAGTACATGGCTTTTTGGGTTTTTTTTTTTAGAAAGAAGGACCATGTGACAATGCTGCACAGGGTAGATCATCCTGCAGATCATTGCCACCTGAAACAAGGAAATAGAATTGGCAGGATCAACAGGTATTATAACTGAACCCTACACACACCCAAAACCAAAAAACAATCTCCAACTCGTGTGCTGATAAATAATTACCCTATATATAAAATGACAGGGCATAACACAAATCTGGGTTGACTTCTTAACTGTAGAATTCCATCCAGTATTACAGTTTTTCTTCCATTCTCCTCATAAGAAAATCCGCAATTAAATATGGTGGATTCAATAAAATAACATCCTTTATTTAATAACTCACATTACAGTTTGGATAAAGCAGCTCCTCCTCATAGAGATGCACATGCAGACAGACTAGGGAACACTGGCCACATGTTCCCACTTCCAAGATGGCCGCAATCGCACTTCCTGTCAACATCGATGCGTCTGACGTCACGTGTCCCTGACCCTTCTGAAAAAGTCATAGGAAGTGACAAAACGCGTCAGGACACGTGACGTCAGACGCATCGACGTTGACAGGAAGTGCGATCGCGGCCATCTTGGAAGTGGGAACATGTGGCCAGTGTTCCCTAATCTGTCTGCATGTGCATCTCTATGAGGAGGAGCTGCTTTATCCAAACTGTATGTGAGTTATTAAATAAAGGATGTTATTTTATTGAATCTACCATATTTAATTGCGGATTTTCTTATGAGGAGAATGGAAGAAAAACTAATACTGGATGGAATTCTACAGTTAAGAAGTCAACCCAGATTTGTGTTATGCCCTGTAATTTTATATATAGGGTAATTATCCATCAGCACACGAGTTGGAGATTGTTTGGTTTTGGGTGTGTGCAGGGATTAAGGTGATCACTGATGAATATATAGTGTGGTGTTACACATTTGCAGTGATACACTTTGAGTTGTTTACACAGATTATATAGTGGACACGATGTGTGAGTGTTTCACTGATTAGGAATTTGGTTACACAGAGAAATAAAAATATATGCGTATATGTAGATATTCGCATATAGATTAACACTTTTTTTTTTTTTTTCTCACAGTATTGCATGTTGCAGAGTAAGGGGCACGTGTGTATTTATTATCAAAAAGGTATGACACTATGTTAAGTTTTTTTCTTTTGAGGTATATTGTCATTAGAGTTTGCGGGTGTTGAGAAAAAGATTTGTCGTTGAAAGAAGAAAAAAATGACTTTGCTGAACATTTGGTTACACTAGTGGGGATCGTTTTGATATTTTGGACATTTATCTGGGTTTGTAAAAAAGAAAAGTTTATATATACATTTTTTTTGATTAACCTTCAAGGGTGGAGGTGGATTACTTTTCTGGGAATTTTTGTGCTGTGTTTTTGAATATATAGGTATTATAACTGTATAGAAAAAAAAAAAGGGCATATAGAGAGACAAATTTAACAAATTCTTTTAGGCTGATTTTTTTTTTGTCAGACGCTTTAAATCAGGGGTGTCCAACCTTTTGACCTTCCTGGGCCACATTGGAAGTCTTGGCCCACACATAAAATACACTAACAATGACGGGGAAAATGGGTGCCCAATCTGCAGCCGCAGCACTGTCTTAGCATGTTCAAAACAGAGGATCCGCAACTCTGCAACAACTGCTATCTAAGGCTGAGTTTTTCTTTGGAATACTTGAATAAAAGGAAGATTTTAATGAGCATATACACAGAAACACAGAGCTATCAATCCTCTGTTTTGGCAACTGAAATTTGGGGAAGGGGGCAGCCCTCCTCAGCACCTCCTGTATCCGGCCAATGTGGCATTTACTTCTCTGGCACTAGCGGGAGTCCCTGCATTACTGCTGCCAGTGCTAGTGCAAACGTGGCAGGCTGGCATCCCTCCAGATGTTCCTGTTACTGGTTTGTCAGTGCTGGCTGCTATGCATACATATCATCCTTGGCATCCTTCCAGATATGCATAGGCTGGGCATGTCCATGCCGGCCACTGCGGCATCCCCGGAGTCCCTCCAGACACACCTGGGCCATATGCTCAACTCTCTTGGGCGGCAAGCTGGGCATCCCTTCTTTAAATTTTCCTCTTAAATTGAAACTAACTCAGCAAGATCTACCTCTGCCCCAACAATCTGAAATCTGCAAGGTCCCTTGTTGACACCGACATCTTTTTCCCAAGTGCCAGGTCTTCGCTTGGCTTATTTGCCTGGCCGGAGATCATTCATTCCAGTACCAAGGTATGCCAAGAATGTACACTGAGCTGTGTGTGTACAGCTCATTGTACATTCTAAAGAAGTTTGTGAGCAGGCAGGCAAGTTTGTTTTATTACAGAATAGACATAACATGGCTGCACAGGGGTTAAGCGGTTAGCTCTTCTGCCTTGCAGCACTGGGGTCCCTGGTTGGAGTCCCCATTAGGAAACTATCTACATAGAGTATGTATGGAACAACTGATGATATCCCACTGAGTGCACTCAAAATGGCTGCTTTACCGTCTGTCCCAACAGTAGATAAAAGTGCTTGGAGTCCCCAGGGGGCAAAGCCCTATAGTAATACGATCAAACAACTTCTTCAATAAAAAAAAAAAAACCTGCCTGCTTATATTTTTGTTTGCACTTTAGTTCTGCTTTAATACCTCATAGAAAGATAACAAACATTATTTTAAAAGTTCCAAATGCCAAAACCATTTCAACAATAGGAACCAGCAGGGGAAAAAAATGAATGGTAACAACTCCAACTGCTAATCATGAGGGTTCAGAATGACAGTTGGGGTTGTTATAAATACAGTAGATAATTATCCTACAGGATCAGAACCATCATATTTGATTACAAACTTCACAGAACATGTGATAACTGATGAGCCATTCGTCACAGGCTGGGTGGACTGGAGCCTTACAAACACCTGGATGAAAAACAGAAGTCTTGGGTCAGCAGGCTCTGTTCACCTTGTAGGCTCAATTCACTGAGCTAACAAATGGGGATAATAATTTGAAAGTTACAGTCATATGGCTTGTGTAAAGCTTTGTAAGCTGATCCTTATGTATCATATGGCTTTATTTTCAATTGTGAATGGAGTGTTCCTTTAAACTGTTATGAAGCACAGGTTACAGCCTTCTGATTCATTGATCTTGAAAAGTTTTCTAAATATACAAAAATAGAATGTAGACAAATTCTGGCTATAATTTTCCCAACACAAAATATTGTTTGAATAGGTTTTTTGAGGTCCTGACCGTTCTCTTCATGTGGAGGTCCAGCCTCTGCAGTGCTTCGGTCTCTCCTCCCGGATACAAGTGAGGTCCGAGCTGCGAGGGGTCTTGTCCTAGCTCTTCTAAGGTGGGAACACCATATTTCTCATTATAAGACAACTTCCACGGAGTGCAACAATCTAAATGACAACCAAAAGAATTGGGTGAGCTGACTAGGAAAAAAAATGTTTCCCCACCCCTCAGGGATAAAATTGGCTGTATTTCATAGAATAATTGTGATCATTGTTATCATCATCGTGATCAGGTTTTTGTTTAGAAAAACATCTGCTGGCCTAGCTGTGATGGGGCCTCACACAGACAGACACAGTGACAGTTTATTCGGTCAGGATGTAGGTGTCAGAGCACAATACAGACATTAAGAAAAGGAAAGTGTTAAATGCAAAATGCATTTTTTGTCAATTTAGCGTACAATTAAAAAAAAAAAGACATGCATTTTAAAAATCTAATCAAATAAAAGCCTTAAGTCCTTTGAAAAATGTAAAAACTATTTAGGTATGAAAATGACCTATACGATATAGTCAAGTTAACCGATGGGTAACAATGCTGCAAAATTCAGTCTGGGTATCTAGTCTTCAATTACCTGTGGTCTTAAGGAGTTAAAGGGCATTCATAAGGCCATAAACATTTAGCTGCCAATGCATACACGTGCAGAGGATTAATGCCAGGATGAAAAGGTTAGCCACTCAGATGGGAGACCGTGTCCCACGGGTCATTTTCCTGTTTCACTTGAGTAACAGTAGATAAAGTCAAATAAATTTTGAAGGAATAAACAAAAACTTTCACCAAGCCATAATGATACAGTCCTTACCTTTTATGTCATCCTTTGTTGGTGCTTTACAAGGCCGCTTTGGGGGTCCTATGGATGCCAGCACAGTCTGCAGCCGGACATAAGTCAGCGGGGGCTTCCCATTGTTCTCAGCAATGACCCTGCATATGCAGCAAACATTAAACATTGTACACAGAAAAATCTTACTTACGTAAGAAGCAGAAATCCATAAATTACACCCAGCAAAGAGACCATGCAGCCCACTAGAGATTGTAGACTGCAGAGAATCAAAATCTGCAAGTAGCTTGTAGCATTTATTAAAGGGATACAGTCAATATGTTTACAATTGATTAGTAAAAATATTTTAACTAGTTAAAAGTTCTCTGCTTACATTTGTGGGGTGACTGTATACATCCTAATAAGAAATGTAAAATGGCATAATAAAATGAAGTGTGCAGCTTAGGGTATTGTATTGTATTGTATTGTATTATTCATTTTTCCTTATGGAGGTTTTCCAGCTCCGCTACAATGTCTTGTAGTCACATTTTTTTACTGAATGACGATGTTAGGTGAAAATATACCGAAGTGTATCTAAACCCCAAAACAAAAAAAAAAAAATATATTGCAGCTTACCAGTCCTTAGCTGTGGTGACTGCATTTGTTTTCTTTTTCTTTTTTTTTTAAGGCTTTTAATGCTTTATTTACACCTGGAGATTTTGTCAGTTCCTGTCCTAAGGTGACAACGTTTATTCATTTTACTGTATCAAGGAAACAGAAACAAGATAGGACTACGGAACCCCCATCCCGCACTTATTGTACATAACATAGGGGGTCATCGTTCTTTAGTCCTCAACATAGCAGGAGCAATAGTAATTGATAGAGGAAGTTAGCAGCTTACAATATATTTGGCAGGATTAGCGGTTTTTCTTTTTAAAACAGATATAACAAAACTCTTTGTGTCACTTGATCCTTCCTTTTATATTGCAAGCTCTAATGATCAGGGCCCTCTGATTCCTCCTGCATTGTATTCTAACTGTACTGTCTGCCCTTATGTTGTAAAGCGCTGCGCAAACTGTTGGTCCTATATAATGATAGTAATTAAATACACTTTTTTTTGTTTTTGGGATAAGGTACACTTTAACATTATGTTTGAGTTGTCTCCTTTTAGACTGTGGCAGGTCTAATCACATCCATTTAAACAGCAAGGGAGTTTTTTGCTGCTTCCTTTTACAGCAGCCTAAAGTGACAATATGTTCCGGTGGGAATAAAGTGGTTGGGCTAGAACATGATGGTAAACAGACTTGGGTAACAGCTAGTAGTGAAAAGCTGGCCATACACGTATAGATTTTTGTTCGAGAATTTTCGTTTCAAGAATATTCGTTTGATTTTCTAATCGTTAGCAGTGACAGGAAAATTCGAAGGGGCAGGAAGGAAAACTTCTCGATCAAACAAGTTTTAGGCCAGTATATGCGATTATCCTTCAGAAGTTACATTCATTTTAAACTCGAATGTTAAAAGCAAAAGACAATTTTCAAACAACATTCGTCCATTCACCAAACGTTCAAAGAATTTTCGTACAACTTTTCGTACGAATATCCTCGTCCGAAAATCTACATGTGCATGGCCAGCTTAACCTCCCTGGCAGTCTAGCTAATCAATATTTTTGAATGTCAAAGCGGTACATTGTTTTGCATGGAAATTTGTGGTTTTATATTGTAGGACTGTAATTCTTAGGAATAACTGTCCTTACAAGAGTCTAGTAAACATCCCAGGTATGATAAAGTTTGAAACACGAAATCATAAATTATAATATAATAAAGAAATATAAAAAATAATATAATAATAACAAATTTAATTCAATAATATAATCAAACAAAAAACACTGAAATATGAAATAGAGCGCCAAGTTCACACATCACTGAGCTCAGTCGCAGAATAATTTTCAGTGTTTGATGACGAATTTCCCCCACGAATCATTATCACTCAATTCTGCAAAGTGATTCTAATTCACTATCGCTGTTTTATAGCTGGTCTAAAACCGCTTTTGACCTAAAGGGACACTTTTTGGATGCCATAGACATTCTCAGGTTTCCAGGCAGAAAGAACAGTAAAAGTGCAGGCAGAGCACAGGACAAAAGCACTCGGGACAAAATGTATGTGAAATGGTTTGATACAGTAATGTAATACTAACAGATTATAATGTATTGTGTGTATGTCATGTTTTTAATTTTTTTAATCTCCCGCCGATTCCGCCCTCCTGTGTACTGACGCTCGCAGGGAAGAGAATCCAGAAGACAGATGCCGGCATCGGCCGGAGGACACAGCGGGAGGACATCGCAGGATCGCAGAACAAGCACTATAGTGTAATCCCGAGTGTGGCTTACCGCTTTTGGTACTGTAAATTAACCCCGAGCCACACTCGGGATTACCGCAAGGGAGATTAAGTCACAGTTAACCCAAGTTATTGTGTTATATTAATATTTACAGGTATTTATAAAGCGCACACAATTTACACAGCGCTTTACATACTGTACTTCTGCATCACTCCCTGTCCCCAAGAAGCTCACGATCTAAGACCTCTATCTCACATTCATACATACACACACTAAGACCAATTTAGACAGGAGCCAATAATCCTACCAGCATGTCTATGAAGTATGGTGAGAAACCAGAGCATCAGAAGGAAATCCACACAATCACAGGGAAAACATGCAAACCCTATGCAGATAATATCCTGGCCAGGATTTAAACTGAGAACCCCAGTGCTATGAGCAGTGGCGTCCCTAGGTTGGTGCGGGGGGTGCAAGCCGCACCGGGTGACACCAATCGCACGGGATGACACCCAGGGGCATATCTGGCACGAGGCAAACAAGGTGTTTGCCTAGGGCGGCAGTTTTCAGGCGAGCGGCATCGCCCCCAGGCAAAAGGGACAAGGGACCAGTGCTTGGCGGGTCGGGAGAGCTTGGCATGGCTCGGGTGGGAGGCAGGGGGACAGGTTCAGCAAGTCTTGAGCAGGGAAGGTGGGCTCAGCTTATGCCATCCTGAATTAATGACAAGCCAGCTGTATTACCCTCTCCGTGCCTTCCCGGAACACTGATTGCACCCACTGATATCATTAGGATCTGGCAGGAAGCCAGACCCGGACTGACTATCGCAGCTATGCTCCGCCCACCTGCCCTCTCTGCAGCCAGCCGGCCGCCTATTCCATTCACTGTATAGGGCCAGAGGGCAGAGCCTAGAGGTCAGCTGACCATGAAGGAGAGGAGACCATCACTGCATGTCAGGTATCAGTGCAGCAACAGACACCACGGACCCCAGATAAGTGCTCCATTACTTGTCAAATAGAGCCTCCGTCTCTCTCTCCCCCCCCCTCTTCTTCCCCCTTTTCTCTCTCTCTTCTTCCTCCCTCTCTCTCTCTCTCTTCTACCGTTCCGGGACTCCGGGAGGTGCGACGAGGACACAAGGAGGGCAAGAGCCCAGCCAGCCTGTGTGTGTACGACAGGGACCGCCCACCTCTGGAGGGATGACACCACGTGTTACTGCACCGGGTGACACCAACCCTAGGGACGCCTCTGGCTATGAGGTAGATGTTCCAACCACAAAGCCATACCAATAGGATGTTTCGTCAATCGTCCAAGTGGTTTCCTTAGTTATTAGAACATGCTATACCATGACGTGGATAAATGAGACCTACACAGGCTTTGTTTGTTTTTGCAACAGCCTTGAAGAGCGATTGTGTGCCGGAGAGGGTAAACAAAGGGATAGCACTAAGAGAGGAAGTTAAACTGGTATTTTTATTACCAGGTGTTTATGTCTATGATAAATTGTAAAGTAACCATTGGAAAAGTATATAATAAATGTCAATGTTAACCTTCAGCAAACACACACACAATTAGAGGACGCCTTCATCCTCTCTGTTCTGTAGTTCACAGTCACTCACCTTTCTACATCATAGAGGGTGTTTGAGACCCTCTGTATGACCTCCACGTTGTGTTCAGCTGCCAGCCTCTCCACTTCCGCATCTCGCTGCTTGGAGTACGGCTCAGTGTCCACTTCAAAGGTCAGTCGGGTCACTTTCCACTTTTTGAAAAGCACAGGGAAGACCTCAGCAGGTTTCCCCCTTACCACAAAGAGCCTGAGAGGAAGAGAATCAGCCAAATGCAGGAAGAGAAGTGACCACACAGAGCACTGATCAAACAAACGATAAATCTTGTGTAGTTCAGTATGAAAACTAACCCATCCATTCTATTGTTGGGAGAGCATTCACCCATGTGGTAAATCCCAACTCCACCGAAAACTTTTTGTTTCAGAAAGAAAAGAGATAGGTTAGAGATCTAGACAGATTCTTTCTGGTTGTCTGTGTCCCTGTTGGGCAAATTTCCCTTCACTTACTGTAAAGAAAGGAAGTGAGGGAACATATGATCTCTTCAGTGGAGAGAAAAAATATATTTTTAGAAGAGTGAGGAAAGGTTAAAACTTCTGTCCATGGAAGCTAACCCTCACCTTGGGTCTAGGGTTAGCCCTGGTTCACATATGTGCGTTTACGCGGGCCACGTTTTCTGCGGGCACAAGAGCCCATTCATTTGAGTGGACTCCTGTGTCCTGGGACACTCAGGTGAGAACCTCAGTTCCCAGTGTGGTTGCAATTTCCAGTGCGGGCGACGCGCCATTAGAATTAATGGCACCCGCCCGCGGGTCCGCTTTCTTCTGTGTGGGTGGTTTAGCTGCACGGATTTTTGTGCGGATCCACAGTGGCACCACCTGCACATATGTGAACCTAGCTTTACAGTGTTAGGATTGGAACTTAGTAGTCAGGATCTTGTTGACAAGTATCACAGGGACAGGAGGTGGGGGAATAGCTCCCCATCCCCTATTGGGAACATTATAACTTCTCACTTAAAATTTGACTTGTTTTAAAGTGGTTGTAAAGGCTGAAGGCTTTTTACCTTCAGGTATTCTATGCTTGAAGGTTAAAAAAAAAAAAAAAAACCTTCTGTGTGCTGCTTCCCTCACAGCTCCTCCTTTTACTCACCTGAGCCCCATCCCGATCCAGCAATGTGCACGGGAGCCTCGGCTGTCCCGGGTTTATTTCTCCTCAGTGGCTGAGACGCAGCAGTGAGCAACGGGGCGGGGCCAAGCTGCGGCTCTACATGCCTTATGGATGCATAAAGCAGGTCTAGGGAGCAAACACACACCAGTGCCCCCATAGCAAGTGGCTTGCTATGGGGGCACTGGTCAGGGGGAGGAGTAGTGTACGTAGTGTAGCCTTACTTAGGAGGGTCAATAAATATTCCCTCATAGTCTGATCTGCTCCGATTTCTGATACCTGGAATTGATCTTTTTCAGGTTTTCATCCAAATCCTTCAACGCCTCAATGAGAAATCTCCAGCGGTTGACACTAACTCTCATGTTCCTGGGGAACCAGGGATCCAAGATGAAAATTGGGTGCAGTTCAATGCAGTCTTTCATGGCCGCCAGCAGGGCAGGGTTGTCGTGAAGGCGGAGTCCCTTCCTGAACCAGTGGATTGAGCGGTGGGTCATGGTGCCTGGACTCTGAGCTGTATTTAGAAGGTTACATGTTAAAGCCACACAAAGACATCTACAGACTTTATTCACACGGTATTTAGAAGGTTACATGGTAAAGCCACACAATGACATACATGGTAAAGTTACATGGTAAAGCCACACAAAGACATCTACAGACTTTATTCACACGGTATTTAGAAGGTTACATGCTAAAGCCACACAAAGACATCTACAGACTTTAATCTTACGATATTTAGAAGGTTACATGCTAAAGCCACACAATGACATCTACAGACTTTAATCACACGGTATTTAGAAGGCTACATGCTAAAGCCACACAAAGACATCTAAAGACTTTATTCACACGGTATTTAGAAGGCTACATGCTAAAGCCACACAAAGACATCTACAGACTTTATTCACACGGTATTTAGAAGGCTACATGCTAAAGCCACACAAAGACATCTACAGACTTTAATCACACGGTATCAGATATCACCTTTTATCAATAAAGGAATGCTTGCTTTGCTGTACTACACTTTAAGGTTTACATAATAAAATAAAAAACAAAGACTCTGGTAACAAATGTGCAGGTGCCTGCCACCATAGGATCGCTAATCTCCCGTCTCCTCCGCACTCTCCTGCAACCCTCTCTGTTGAGTACTCTCATTAATCCTTTTTTTTTTCTTTTATTTGCACAATTAGTTCATTTTTAGGGCATGCTTTTAGGGTGTATCGCCTTCTTCTTGGTAAAAAAAAAAAAATACAAATACTGCTAGGACTGAGAAGAAGGGGGAAGACCCTGAAAGCTTGTGTTAAAAATATAAATGTTAGGGCTCATTCACATGGGGCGATAAAAGCAGGCAGTTACACTGCAGTAAATATGAAAAAAAGTACCAAGGACAACACTTATTATATGTGTCTTTGTAAGTGCTCTGATATGGCTACAATCGCCTTAAGCATGATGGAAGCTGCAAAATTTTACAAATACAATTCTTTTCCCTAGCTTTCTTCTCAGTTTTTCAGCCTTGTCTTTCAAACAATAAACCAGAGGTGATTTTTATACGTTTCCCTACAATATGACAAGAATCACAAACTGAGATGAGTCTTATACCAGAGCAACAGAAACAGCTTCCTGAAATTTTATCACGAACAATTTTTCTTGCTTTCACCTTTTTATCCTTTGTTACAGCTCAGTGCTGCGGATCTACTGCTGCCTCTTTGCAACCGCTTCCGGTCTGCATGCACTCCAGCAATGGCTGCATGTCATTTCCCGAGGCGGTTTTCCTGATGGTGACAACAGTGTGTTGAAACAGTCACATGAAGTCTCCAACGGAAGCCCCAGTGACAACACAGAACTGGGAGACAGGATTATCTCACCCGATAACAGGAAGTGCTGGAACAGAGACCTTCATGGCAGGGCCACCAGGGATTATTACAATGAAAGCTGCAGATTTAAAAAGACTGAAAAGGCATTAAATTATAAATTCACCTTTTGCACAAAAATAATAAACGCACATTTTTTTGCAGGTAAAAATAATGTGTATTTGATATTTTTGTCCAAAGGAGCCTGGAGAGTATTGCACCATTGATCAGTAGATCGCTCATCCCATGCAGGTCTCCTGCAGACCTGTCAGATTATCTGCCTACCGTACGGGATGTACAGCCAAGCAGATATTCTGATAGGAAGCTTCAATGAACTATCACGGTGCTCCACAGCGCCCCACAGCACCGTGGTAGCAATGGGAAGCTTCAATGAACTATCACGGCACTCCACAGCACCGTGGTAGCAATGGGAAGCTTCAATGAACCACCAAGGCATTCCACAGCACCGTGATAGCAATGGGAAGCTTCAATGAACTACCACAGCGCCCCACAGCACCATGGTAGCAATGGAAAGCTTCAATGAACTACCACGGCACTCCACAGCGTCCCACAGCACCGTGGTAGCAATGGGAAGCTTCAATGAACTACCATGGCGCTCCACAGCACCGTGGTAGCAATGGGAAGCTTCAATGAACTACCACGGTGCTCCACAGCGTCCCACAGCACACACCGTGGTAGCAATGGGAAGCTTCAATGAACTATCACGGCACTCCACAGCGTCCCACAGCACCGTGGTAGTTCATTGAAAATCACAAGCCAACAGCCTCTAAGGCTGCCAGGACTTGCAGTTCAATCACCACACAGTCGTGCTGTTTTCAAATCTGACAGATAGTATGGGAAGAGGTTTCCCCATACTATCTGTCAGAGGGAGGGGGGCGGCTATGGGAACATGTTACATGTTCCACCCTAAGAACAGGTGGAACATGTAACATGTTCCCAAAGGTGAACATATCTTTTAACACATTAAAGCTTATATGAGATTTGGGTTTTGCTTTAAAATAGCAGCTGGCAGGTTCCTTATAGTGACCAGACATCATAGGATGTCCAATCAAGGTGATATCTCTGCTACCTGGGAATCAAGAAACTATGTTCAGAGACAGAGAGGGGGAAGGCCTGCCCTTCCCCCTCCTTCCACTGTTTCTGATAAATCAAATTATTATCTTCACGAGTTTCAAACAACTGATCATTATACAGATCAATTTTTTTTTTTTTTTTTTTTGCATTTTCAATTGATATGATGATAAATTGCTTGTTGCAATCGCTCCTACTTGTATAAAACACAAATTGATTGGCAGATTGATGCAGGTGATTTCACATACTACATTTATCATCCACCTTACTAACCGTTCTGTATCTGCCCCCCCTCTCTGCCAATCCCTCCACTGGCTTCCCATTGCCCAACGGATAAAATTCAAAACGTTAACAATAACATATAAAGCCATTCATAACTCTGCCCCAAATTACATCACCAATCTTGTCTCCAAATATTACCCAAACCGTACTCTTCACTCCTCGCACGGCCACCTGCTCTCTAGCTCCCTTGTCTCCTCCTCCCATGCTCGACTCCAGGACTTCTCCAGAGCTTCCTCCATCCTTTGGAACTCTCTACCCCAATTTATCAGACTATTGCCTACTCTGCTCACTTTTAGGCTATCTCTGAAATCATATCTCTTCAGGGAAGCCTATCCTGCCCTCAGCTAATGCTGTAATCTTCTATTCCTTCTACCAGTTCATCCCCCACAGTTACTACCTTTTGTACCACCAGCCCCTCCCTCTCAGATTGTAAGCTCCCAGGATCAGGGCCCTCCTAACCCTCTTGTATTGATCTGTATTGTTGCTGTATTGTCTCCCGTTATATTGTAAAGCGCTGAGCAAACTGTTGGCGCTATATACATCCTGTATAATAATAATAACAATTTAGAGCAGCCCATTCATTTCAAATGCACAAAAAAAGTGCATGACCCTCATTTTTTTTTTAATTTTGCCGCAACAAAATGAATGGTACTTTGTTACAATGTTTTTTTTTGCAGTGTGTTAGCAAGGTGTGACCACCACATGCCTGCAAAAAGTTCTGTGCGTTTGTTTGTGCGCTCCTGCAATGCACAACTGTAAACCTAGCCAAGGAAGAGAGGCATGCTGGAGGATGAAGTTTAGAGTAGAACAAAACAAAGACAGCAGCATTCAGAAATGAAGACAGACACACACACAGAGGTGTCGCGGAATCTGATCCCGGAGTGGAATGATAGGAATATTAGGAGTATTACCGGCAATGATGGAGATTCAGAGACTCAAAGCTGAACACAAACTTGTTACATCACCAACAAAGAGTTACACAACATTCAGCTTCCTGTCTGCTGTCCAATGAGAGCAGAGCGTGCTGGTCACACCTCCAGCCCATTAACCCCTTTCACGCTGGCGAAGAGGCAGAAGCCAGAATCTTTTCCCGTCATGCTGTGTGTATCTAAGCAGACAAGGCTGACCACAATGGTGTCATCCGGGGTCATCATCCGTGGTCACGCAGCATCTGCAGCCGCAGCAAAACAATTGCCTAAAAGTCCAATAAACAAAACACACTAATGGAAATGTTCTTTTATACAATATAACATTGTCAGGATTTACAAACCTACACATAGAATTAGTAACATTTTCTGACTTTTAACCTGTCTATCATAATGTACATAGAATTGTTAAGGCGTGTCTAAACCCGAGGACACATATGTAATATATTGCAGTTTACCAGTCTTTACCACAGGAACTGGCGATTGAGTTGCCCCCCCCCCCCCCCCCCGAGTGCCCACCTAATGCCACCCATACAGCCGGAGGCCCTGTTCACATGCCACAGCTGCCATGCTCTGCATAGCAGGCATCGCCTCTCAAGCTCCTCAATTCAAGTCAATGAGGCTGCGCCAATACACTTGGCTTGCAGTTGCCGTTCATTAGCCCCATATAAAATTACCGTTTGGCTAAACAATTAACTTGGTATTCAGGAGGCAGCAGTGAACCCCTGACAGCAGCTGCTTATCCAGACTCTGTAAAGTGATTCACTGCAGATCACTTTTCAGGGAATGGGCAATTAGCCTTAGTTTGGCCATACATACTACAATCTGATTGTACATTTCCTGTACAATCTAATTTAAATTTACCAGGTAACTAGGGAATATGAGAACAAGCCTATACATTCCAATCAATTTCTATCAAATCACTATCAACGTTCTATCAAATCTATCAATCAGCTTGTATAGTCTATGGCAAGCTTTAGGGAGGTCTGGGGGTTCATGAGCGACAACCCAGATGAATGCTTCTCAGTTTTCTTCCATACTGTGATTGGGTGATTGCTGGCTATCCCCGCTTCAGTCGATCCTGAATACGGCTGCCAGACTCATTCACCTTTCCAACAGCTCCGTTTCCGCCACCCCCCTCTGCCAATCCCTCCACTGGCTTCCAAATGCGCAACGGATCAAATTCAAAATCCTAACGTTGACGTACAAAGCTGTCCACCATACTGCCCCGAACTACATCATTGACCTAATATCCAAGTACCGCCCAGCACGCACACTCCGCTCCTCACAAGACCTCCTTCTCTCTAGTTCCCTGGTCTCCTCCTCCCATGCCCGCCTCCATGACTTCTC